CTCCTAAAAAGGTGAAGAAAGAAGGATGGGGGGAGGCATGGCTCTTCCTAAATCAAGGAATCAACTTTGACTCTTTGATAAAGTGAAGATCAACCAAGTTAAGCAAAGCCAACCTCCTCCAACCTCTATAATATGCAGAAGATTAGCATCAGAAAACACAAGAGAGAAAGGAAATGATACCCACAGAAAGCTAGACTATAGAGAGAAGAGAAGGAAGCAGTACGTAGAAGCCATAGGCGGCGACTGAGAGAAGTGACAGAGTCACTTTCCGGAGTCGCCAGTCACCAGTAGCAGTAGCGGATTTGTTTCCTTACTCTTCCTTTCTTTTGTTGTATTTTTCTTGTTCGTAATCATGTCTTTGACTATATGGTTCAATGTTGTTACTGTTGGCAGTAAAAAACATGAGTAGCTAATCTGTTTATGAGATTTTAATTCCTTGAATCTCTCAAGTTATTATTCATGGTTATGCTTATATGATGTTCATGTGCCTAATAGTAGAGTTGAATTAATCTTTTGATTAGTATGATCAACTAATCAATTGTGCATGCATGTGGCGGAAGTTAGTTAGTTTGTTGCTATTAAAATTCTGTCTGGAACTATTGGAAGTGAACTTACAGTGTACAAACGCTTGATCGAACACAGTTTTGTACTAGAGAGAGAATGGTGGATTAGGAGCCCATAACACTTAGTTAAGTCAGTTTGTCACTTTCACAAGTCGTCTGTTTTCTCTATTAGCTTGTTGCCTTAGTTGAATCATTTAGGGTTATTGGAGTTTCATCTGTCCATGTAAATCGTCCCTACTTACAGTTTTAGTTAAATAGGTTTATTTTGGTGGGTTCAACACCCATCATCCTGGCAACCCCCTCCCTCCCCCTCGCCCGATTGAAACTCCCTGCGAATCCCACGTGTCCTAACGACCCCTCTTCTTAGGTAATTCACATTTCTAATTTTTCTTTATGCCAATGTTCAATTTTTTTTGTTAATATTTCTTTTTTAAAAACATTTGTTGTAATCTAATGGTCAAATGGAGATTTTATATATGTTTGTTTATAACAGAGTGTATATATTTTTTGGCTTGAATTTGGAAACTGAAAATATGCTCATGTCTTGACCCAATTTGTGTGATGTGTTTGAACTAATGGTCAATAATAATTCTTTGGTTTGATGGGTAAATGCGTTGTACTTATTTAGAGATATTGGATATGTTCGTTTATTTGTTACCTCGGTGGTTCAATTTGTGTTGTTATAATGGTAGTAGTTGTTTGGGTTTAGGGTAAATTATTGATTATATAATAAGCAAATTTTTTAGGGTTTCAACTCACCATAACGCTATATTACTTCATTCGAGTCCATTTGAACCAGATTTATTAAACCTACAAGATATCCATAAATATAAAATCATCTTTGAACAAAAACTGGGTATTAGACATAAACGCCTTGTCGAAGGTTTGATACTAAGTTTTGGGGAGTTTTAGAGAATACTCTAGAAAAGGTGTGTGATAACTTTACACGGGCTGATTTCAATGGTGTTATGTGTATTGATAACATTCACATTGACCACTATTTGATTACTGCTTGGTGGGATTGTTGGGATGGAGAGAACACAAAACAAAGAGATTAAATCGAGTTTTCAAAATAAAATTTTGGGAGAAAAAGAAAAGAAAAATAAGCATTTTTTTTATAGACTCAAAAGAAACTCAATTTTTCTTGCACCAAAAGAAAAATAAATTTCCACCTTCCTACATGACGACCATTGATTTAACATTTTATCAATGGTTATGTCTTCAGATTGACAATCCGTGAGAATATGCTCCCATCCAATCAGATTTAAACAAAGATTAAAATGAGTTTTCAAAATAAAATTTTGGGAGAAAAAATAAGCACGAAAAAGCACAATTTTTCTTGCACAAAAAAAAAAAAAACGAAACTTGTCGTTTCCTCAATCACGACTGTTGATTGAACATTTTATCAATAATTAGGGCTTTCGAAATGGCAATCCATGACAAATGTGCTCTCATCCAATTAAGATTCAGGAAAACATACCCTCTCATCTTCTTCCTTATAAATACCAACGAGTTTCTTCCCAAATTTAACTCTCTCCTTTTTTCACTTTAAATTTTTGTACTTTCAATTTTTTATTTTAATTTTCAAATCGCTTCAATTTGTTATGAGTTCTAGTGGTTCCTTCCACTCGTGTGCCTATTCGTCCGCTTGTGCTACCCATCCTCAATCACTGCTCAATTCCAGTCGCCTTATTCGTGAGATTATCAATGGTTATAGTGCTGTAGGATTCAAGAAGGCGGGTCAGGAATTTTTCTACAACACTATAGCCCCTTAAACCTTAAAATTAGATTTTGCTAATCCAATTTAAAAAGTACTTGAAATGTCCAAATTTAGTTTCCATCATTACCATGCCCTGTGTTATCTCTACATACAGAACAATGCATCACATACAAAATTTAGTCTAACAAAGAACACATAAACATTCATCGCAAAAAAATCCATCGACCAATACAACATTCATTCTAGTACGTTCATCGCCAGATAAAGAAAAGTTTTAGGTTCATCGACCAATGCAATATAAACAATATTAACTCTACTAAGTTCAACATCAATAATCATTCATCTTGATTCGGTCAACTCTAGTGCAAGTTAATGTTGAACCCTACTAGGTTCATATGCGAGACGTCTTAATTACCCATTGTATGGTATATGAACATCCCATTACTGTTTTTTTTTTTTCACTTTTCTCGGGGTTTTTATCGTTTTTATCACAATCTGAAAATACCAGATGCCTTTATCACTTCAACTTGGCATTACGTACTCATCATCGTCCTCTTCCTTGTAATTCTCATTATCAGGATCCTCGTATATTGAACCATGCATGCCTAATTATCCGTTTTTCTTAATGAGTCCGAAAAGTACTAGCCCTTTGCCAGCTAGGACAACCACCTTGCACATTATTTACAAAACCCAATTCTTTTCCAAGTACAAGTACAAATTACACCCATAGAAAAAATAAATAATTTATAAATGTGATTTATTTTTTATTTTCACGACATGCCTAATGCTATTAGTCTTAAATACTAATGAAATGTTCTTTAATAGTTCCTAGATCTCACCCAATCACAAATCCTTTCAGCCAAATCGGAGTATGACAACCTACGCTCAATAAATATGGTGTCATCTGGCAAGTTGGTAAATGTGTTCACAAAATAATTCTCAATAACAAACTTACTTCTCCAGAATGGATTAAGATATTTGTACATTAAAAGAATGTCTATTTGTCATATTAATGCTACCTCTGTCCAAAAAAACTAGTCCACATTGAATTTTGAGATTTGTACTAGTTTTAGTACAAATTTAAAAAACTCAACGTGGATTGTTTTTTTAGCACAAAAGATTTAATTACTCAAACAACTATCTAATTACTAACCAAGAAACAATATATAATACAGTATAGGTCATTTGCTACTAATGGAGACTAAAATCACGTAATACACTAAAATAATTTTCAATACATCATAAATCTGCTTTCATAACCATACTTTATCACATGAAACATTAAACTCTATCTAAAGTGTAGAATTTATCTTACACATGTAAAATTAACTAAAATTTAATCTCTTAACCTTAGTTGCACACAAAAACACTACTACTAGTCTACTAATACAAAAATTCAATTAAGAAAACTACGACATAACAATTAAGTTATTCAATTAAGTTTTTCGGAATAACGATTCGTCATGTGTGATAAGAAAACTACGACCAAGAATTTCTAATTGCCACCACCACAAGCCAAAATAATCCAACGAACAACAAAATTTCGATATGTGAATAGTTATTTTTCTTTCCTATTTACGGCTTGATATAAACCAGATTAAAAAAAATGATTTACTAACAAAATCAGATTAGGCAAATATGGAATACGTTAAACTGGGATTTCAATAATCAATTTCAAAGAAAAATAGATTTGCAAATTCCAATTTTCCATCGTTCCATTTATTACGAATTCTTGCATTTACCTACTCAATGTAAACAAAAACGGAGAAGGACAATCCGAGTTTATTATATTGGGATTTTGCTAATCCGATGTACTTTTTCAAAGATTTCCTACACTTTTCAACATTTAGCTCAAATGTTACAAATTCGATTGTATTTTTTTTTATTCTATTCATTTTCTTTCAGATTTTTGAAATTTGAGTATTCTTGATATATGGCTAAACTTATAAAATGAATTATATTGTGAAAGTTATATCATAGTAAATATCTTCTTGAAATCTACAAAATACAACCTACATTGAACATAAAATTTTATTTTAGAAATAAAATTTTATTTCTAGTCATTATTAGAATTGAATATGTAAAAATAATTAGAAAAATTTCATATTTCTAAAATAAAATAAAAAGCGATTAAGAAACTATACCAGATTTTAATCAACTACTAAAATAAAATTTAAACTAAAATATTTAACATGTAAACCTTTTAATGCATTAAGGTGCAAAGAACTTTGGTGTATAAAAATGCTTGGAATATTATATTCCTACACCAAATTTAAGCATAAATTGTTATACAATGGTGGGAGATGTTCTTATTATTTTGACCTTACACGTGCCATATATATGCTTGACACGTGCCAAAAAATTTACATACGTTATTTTACTGCACCTGCTCCCATAAGAAGAACACATCGTCTCAGTCTGAGTCTTTATTTCACCGTCTGCTGCCTTCTCTTCCCTATCTTTTTTACTCACTGAAAAATGGAGCAAACCAAAAAAACACGCACAAACACACACTCCCAAACCCCATAACCCACTCTACAACTGTTTTACGCTTAAGCTAAAACCCTAACCTTCTTAAACCCCTTTATTCAAAACCCTCAGATCCCCTGTATTCTTCCCTCTTTTGGACAACAAATAAAAATTTGATCTTTGATTTTTTTTTTTATTAATTTCTCTTTTTGGGGGTCAATTTCTCCTATTGGAAAGCGCAAGAATCCATGGAAATTGATCCATCTGAAGGAGAATACTCCAAAGAAGCCGCCTTGTTAAGCCAGATAACCACCAATAGCCCTTTATCATCTTCAGTGGCTAAGCTGTCCGGGTCATCCAGAGGCATTCCTTACGAAAAAGATTTCCATTTTTACAAGAATTTCGCTGAATTCAAGGACCCCGTTAAAGAAATAGATGAGAAATCGAAAACCCTTTTGGAAAGGATTGGCGTTTCTTCACAGTTGTGGGGGAAAGGAAAAGATTATCCGTCGGGGCTTGTTATAGATGATTTTGATGGTTATGATTGGTTGGTGGACTTAAACGACGACGTTCTTGAGAAGCTTGACGCTTCCATTGATGAGTTCAAGGTTGCTAGGGAAGCGGATAGTGGATTTCAAGTGGTTAAAAGCAGGAAGAATAAGAGAGCCATGAATAACAGTGAAGATGGGGGTTTTTTGGATGGACTGGTTCAAGTGGCTGCGAAGCCGAAGCCTAAAATTCCATTTCACATACCTTCAATCCCGCGGCCCCAGGATGAGTACAAGATTTTAGTGAATAATATGAATCAGCCCTTTGAGCATGTTTGGTTGCAAAGAAGTGAGGATGGTACTCGGTTCATTCATCCTTTGGTGAGTTCACTTTATGTGGTTACTTTTTGTGTATGCATGGTCGTTCTTTTTTAGTTTCTTTTCAGTTCTTGTTTGGTTTGTAGGTTTTAACTAGTGATATGAAGTAATTGAGGTTATTTCATTTCGGTTTCTAATGTTCCATAGTAATTAAATTGCGCAAACTGCTAAAGGGCTGCGTTTGGAGAGAATGGAACTGACAAGCTCCATGTGCATTGTAAAGAACCCAAATTTCCTATCATTTTGTGTCTTTGATTGATTGAGAAGAGTTTTTCTGTGGCTTCGCTGGGTTGAAGTTTAAATTGGAATTTTCATAAAGGCTGAATGTATGTGGCTTTCAAAATGTTTGGCTTCGCTTGTTCTGCTTTTCTGTCTTCGTCTGCCATTTTTTGCGACGTAAACTAACTTCTTTTTCATTTCAGGAGAATTGTTCGGTGTTGGACTTTGTTGATAAAAATATCAGCAGCCTTACTCCAAAGAAACCTGAACCCCTACAGTCAACGCCGTTCAAGCTTGTGCAAGATGTCAAAGATTTAAAGCACTTAGCTGCCAAGCTAAAAAGTGTGGATGAGTTTGCGGTAAAGTATATACTATATGAATATTCTTCTTGAACATTTAGCAATGATGGATTTCATTCTTGGATTTGGACTTTATTTTTTTATTATAATGGGCGGGCTTTTACCCATGGATGACTTAAAATCCTGCTTGGATTATTGAACAGATGAATTTGAATTGGAATATTGGGTTGTAAACTGTGATGGATCTTGTTTTCACGCCTAGATTTTATTGAGCAATTTATTTTACTTGCTATTGCCTTGTCAATTCATTGGAAAGGTTTCTTCTGTGATTTGTTTCAAGTTCTGAATTGGGGTGAGTTAGTCGGAGACTCTTGTAATTTGTTTGAAAATAAAATTGTACCATGTGACAGCCTCCAGGAAATTTGAGTTGCATGGCTCTTCTACATTTTTATGTCTCTCCCATAAATCGTGTTCTCCCCTTTAATTCTGCACGTCCCACTTGAATTGCCTAATTGTTGAAGGAACATGATCTTATAAACCATGTTCAAGCTAAGAACTAGTAGAGAACATAATTTTCGCAATTACAACAGTGGAAGATTAGGTGACTATCAGTGAATGTTGGCATCCACATTAATGTGGTATTTGCGACTTAATTTTCGCAATTACAACAGTGGAAGATTAGGTGACTATCAGTGAATGTTGGCATCCACATTAATGTGGTATTTGCGACTGTAAAGGAGTTTTGGGAAGACATAACATACTTAACTATATTGAAAACGTTGAAGAAATCATAATGGTATATTAGAATGCAGAAAATCGTGATTGGAAGCTTTGGTTGCATCTTGCATTCAGTTCTTCAAGAGTCTTATGCTGTTATGGCCGAACAAGATTTCGCTTTTCATGGAGTTTTTCTCCATTCAGACTTTGTTTTCCTCCAGACTATGTTTCTGAAATTGCCCACGCCAAAATAAGTGTTCACTATGCTTCCTTTAGACGTTCATTATCCTTACACAGTGACATAAAACAAGATTCCTAACCGTAGGATTCTCTTTGGAGCCTTCAGTTGTATGTTGAGATACCAGATAATATTTAAATTTGGTGCGCATTGTTTACTGCTGTGCTAGGGTCTGTTAAAGTGATTTTTTCTGGATGGACTTGAAAGTTCTGCACTTATAAGGTTTGTAGAGTGATTTCTTTTAATTGATTACCTGTTAAAATGAAGCTTGGAATTGTACCACTGGTTTTTGTCTTTGCTTTTTAGTTGATCCTGGCTCACGAATCCAATTGAGCCTTGTAATTGTCACAGATATAGACCCTTTGCTTGATAGTTATCCAATTGGGCTTAGCAGACTTCTCAATCTCTGTTTCATGAGTTGTCAAGAAGGTGATTATGCATGTGTATGGCTTCTCTGAATATAATGAAATCAGTTATTATTTTTTTTTTCTCATGTGAATATCCTTACCATCTGTCTTGTAATTGAGAAAGAGATGCCTTGCTCTGATGCTTTTCTTTTCCTGGCTTCTGAAAATTGATGTGTTTTTATTAGCTTGACTGCTTCGGTCATGGTTGTTTAAAGAAATTTGAATTGTGTTTCCAGTTTTTGGACGATTACTTATTCATCCAAAATGGTGGGTTTGGGCTGCTCAATGGCTATGCACATTCCTATAATTGCCACCTTTCTAGTTTTTTTCTTTCCGTTTTGTGTTTCTTATGTTCCTTGGCTGAATCTCTTACTTTCGAAATCCTTTATGTGCATATGAAAGTCAAATTAATCAACTGCGCGTATTAAGTTGCTGCTGCATATTTAGGTTGATTTGGAGCATAATCAGTACCGATCTTTCCAAGGACTCACATGTCTAATGCAAATATCTACAAGGACTGAGGACTTTATTATTGATACACTCAAGCTTCGCATTCATGTTGGTCCATATTTGAGGGAAGTTTTCAAAGACCCGACCAAGAAAAAGGTGAAATTTGGGTTTTTTCAACCTTTGGTTTTAAATTTTGCAGTGCTTTTGACTTAAAAGAAAATTGCAAAATTAGGTGATGCATGGAGCAGATCGAGATATTGTGTGGCTTCAACGTGACTTCGGAATATATGTTTGCAACTTGTTTGACACTGGACAGGTTGGTGGTTTAAGTTACTTATGGATTATGCTTCATTTTAACAGAATGAGGGATTTTACTTGAGTTTCTTCATCGGTTTCAAGTTGGGTCTGCAACATTCAACGTGGGCAATTCTATTTATCAGTTAATCTTTCTTGCACAGGAGGTCGCTTTAGTTATGTTTCAGTGCTCTGTCTTAAAGAGTATTCTGTCCTGCATTGTGATACTATGATACTTTGCTTTCATCAGTGCTACTATGCTGGGGAGTTACTATTGAAATGTTCTTTTGCAACTTAGCTGACCATTCCACTGCTGGAATTTCTTTGACCAGCAGCTCTAGTTTTGTTGAGAAAGGGAACAAGTATTTCTAATGATTTAGTTTTTGTGCCTCACCTGTTTTGTTTACAATGTAATTTTTGTGTTTAACTTGCGCTTATGTTGTTATAAGGAAGAATCATTTAGCTGGCCATTTGTTTTATCCATTCTTTTCATTTAGTCTATACCAATTTCTTAACCTGATATTGTTGTTTTTTTTTCTGTTGTGCAAGTACGTGATTTTTTGGAATCTTTTTAGTTCAAATGCTCATGTAATTTACATCGTTATGTTGTCTTTTTATTCTTCACTTCGTAGGCCTCAAGGGTATTGAAATTGGAACGGAACAGTCTGGAGTATTTGCTGCATCATTTCTGTGGAGTTACTGCTAATAAGGAGTAAGCATGTACTGCTTATCTTCTAACAATGTTACACAGATGCTACTTGAGCCCTAGCAAATGCTTGTCATTACCTGTTCATACTAGGCTCTTTAGCGGAGCGTTCCTTTGTTGTTGACCAGCCTGATTTTTGCAGATACCAAAATGCTGATTGGAGATTACGACCACTTCCTGCTGAGATGGTCAGGTAACATTGTAGATGGGATATAATAAATTTTTCTTTTCTGTTCAGCAAAAGAATATGTTGGTGTTCCGTTGTATTTTAACATGGTTTATGTTTCTTTCATATGCTTTGTCCGAAATCTATTTTTTTCTTCACTTTGTTTTTGAAAAATTTGATTAAATCCTACACTTAATTTAGAATTAATGCCATGGGTTTATCACGCTAATAAAATCATTGTTGCAACAGAGGACTATTATCTTTAAATTGAATTAAAAGCTCATAAGCTAGGAAGTATTTCGTATAGTTATCTTTGTAGTTTTAACTTTTTGCTGTTTAAAGAGGTGGCTGTGGTTTGAAGGTTCACTTCTTCAGAGGCAAAACATAAGCCGCAATTTATTTTATTTGTGGTAGAATTCTTTCTCAGTTTGGTCATCCAATTATTCATTTCTGTTGGCATCAGTTGATAGTGCTCTAGTGGTCTATCGTTTTTTATAAAATTGCTTGCCATCCTGAGTTTAGTGCAGACTAAAAGTAGAATTTGCGTCAGAAAAATTTGCACAATGTTTCTGCTGTTTAACTGAAAAAGAAAACAAAACCATGATAGAGCTTCTCAACTTTTATAGTTTCCAGGGTAAAACTATTTTTTGCAATAAAAGAATTATCTACCTAATGTGGTTTATACCCGGTAGTCGGTACATTTGCATGGCAACATTTACAAATGATATGTGGAGTTGATGTTTAATATTAGTGATTCGCACTGTTCGTCTTCTTATTGCTGAAAGTGTAGAAACTACGCGAATGTCCTGTTAGATTATCATGTTACATGTTATCACTTATATGACTTTTGGATGGTTTTTTGGTTTTGAATATTGCACAATTTTCTCCATGGATGGTTCTTTAAAATTTCGCTCTGTTAGATTCTGGCTTTGTAAATAATTTTCAGATTTGGGCTTTTACCTGTTGCTGCTCTCAACCTTGTTTCTTTCATACAAAAATTTAAGGAGCTGATTGATTTTTGTGTTTTAGATTTTATATTACATTCAGCTAATATTTGCAGTTGTAACAGTACTTTTCACAATATCTATTTCTGCTTACCCAATATATAGTTCTACAAGCAAGTCAATCTCACTGTGTCAGACTGGCTATATATATATATATATATATGTTGGCATTATTTTCTGTCAGAACATATAGTTTTATTTAAGCTCACATAAGTCATGTTTCATTAGTTTCTTTTCACTACTTTTTAGGTCTGTGTCATCTTTAATATGAGTAAATAATTCTATGATCCCAGTTGTCTTATGGGAGATATAAGGCCAATCTCTGAGCATGATGTTTAAATCAATCTTCACCACAGTTATCTCGTTTTTTCCAAGTAGTGGTCATATCCACACTTCTTTTTGATGTATCCATTTCTTTTCCTATCTTGACATTTTTATTTATGCTATGTACTTGTTTTGGTCTTTTCTCATATTGCTGTATATGTGTCCAGAAAGTATTGCTGGTCCTAGAGCCTTTCAATTTGATTGGCACCTTGTGGTCAAAGTGTACATAGTGGAATTCTGTGTGTAATGTTTTATCGATTTATCAATTTGTTGATGATGATATCCTGAATTTCAAAGCTTTTCAATGTCTATAATCCTGTAACTAATTTGATATTTACTGTATTTTTTGCTTCAAGAACTGGTTTTATGTATTTGGTTTCAGTTATTAAAATAAGTAAATTTTAAGGTATCCGCAAACGGGTCCTCAACCTCCCACCCATCTTTCTTTTACAGCTAAACTCTTTGCTTCATGTTTCTGATAATATCTAAACTTAATCTAATTGGGCTAGTATTAAGTTTTTTGTTTTGTGTCTCAGATATGCGAGAGAAGATACACACTACCTTCTGTACATATACGATTTAATGCGGATAAGGTTGGCATCAGAAGCTACTGACTCTGAAAGTGCTGATCCTCCTCTTGTAGAGGCAAGTCATTGTGGAAATTTTTTGTTCCCTATACTACCATTGGATCATGGACTTTTACGTTCCTGTAAAATAGAATTTTTTCTGGTATGACGACTTAGATCAATCCCTGTTTTCTTATTAAATGACATGATACATGGTAGACCTGTTGACGAAGGAAGTGAGGAAATTTGGTGACTAACTTTTAAGGCAGGATAGTGCAATCGAATACATGACTCATTTTGTAGAAGCTTTCAAATTTGTGTTTAGGAAATAGTTTGCCTTTTCCGCATCCTATTAACTAATAGGAGTTGCTAGCAGGAATGTACTTGCTCTATCCCTGCAACGTGCACATGCATTTGCAGGAATATATACCTTTGGAATATATCATGTTGAACACAACACTAGTGATTAGTAGTGTAGATAATGACAATCCGTCTATAGTGGCCTTTCTAGGGTTGGCTGATAAAATTTACAAGGAGTTGATTGTAGAGAAAGGAATCAGTGAATATTCGGTGCTTTCAAGAGCAGGGCACGGTATGATTGTTGGATAAGTACAAACATATGTGCTACATTGTAGATTGACTGGGAGGCTTCTGTCATTTTGCACGGTTTATGAATGGCAAGGATATGTTGTATGTTATCATGCATTATTATAATGTATTCTCTGATGAGTCGAAAAATGGAAGGATCACTTTCAGAGCTTAAGACATCTTTTGGACTTCTTCGTTCCTGACAGTTGCATTGGTCTGATCAATATAGTCATTGGGCAGTAAACTAATGACGGAAAAGTAGGGAGGAGAATTCGATTGAAGTTTTAATGCTTAGAAATGTTATTTGGTCTTCATTTATCACACTGTTATTTGAGCTAATTTTATTTGATCTACCTACGCAGGTATACAAGCGCAGCTATGATATTTGCACACAGCTTTATGAGAAGGAGCTTCTGACAGAGAGTTCGTTTCTTCATATTTATGGGTAAATGTTTTATGTATATCTCATGGTGGAGGTAGTTTGTCTTTGGAACTGAATGTGCAGTATTAAGAAACATTCACATTTATTGTGCACTCAGCTTGTGCAGTCCTTTGACAGTTTTTTGATGCAGATTGCAGGATGCAGGTTTCAACGCTCAGCAGCTTTCTGTTGTTGCTGTAAGTGATCGCACTTGTTTCTCTTAACTGGGTTTGAGTTGGGTTCCTAAATACATCTCTTGTGAAATATATTGCTGTGTTTGTGTGGCTGGCCCATTTAGTTAACTGTCCTTTTATGAGCGAAGGTTATCTTACATGTTAAGGCACTGCTTTCAGGGTCTATGTGAATGGAGAGATGTTGTGGCTCGTGCTGAAGATGAGAGTACTGGTTTTGTATTGCCGAATAAAACTCTCCTTGAAATTGGTATGTAAGTTTTGATTTATTGAAGTATGAAATTTGAGATGAGGCAAATTAACTAATTTTGTGATTCTCGTGGTCCTGGTTTGCTGGTGCAAAAGCCAAAAATATGCCCCTCAACCCTAGCAGCTTGCGGCGGTCATTGAAATCAAAGCATCCCTATATAGATCGCAATCTTGCTTCTGTTCTTAACATCATTAGGCACTCAATGAAAAATGCTTCAGCATTTGAAGAGGTTGCTGAACAATTAAAGCAACGACATACAGAAAAGGTAAGACTTACTGGCTTAAGCTGTACGAATAATGCATATGAAATGCTAATTTTGGTTTTGTGTGTTACCCTCTTGTTCGCGTTTGAATTTTATCCTCGACTGATTTTTCTGTTGGCACTGTTGGACAATCCGAACTTGATTGCTGTTTATAAATCTCTGCTAACATTAAAGGCAGTAAAAGGTCCCGTCTAACAGTTCTTTGGTTTCTTTTTTGTTTCGTCTGGTTTTTGTTTGTATTTATTTATTTAATTTTTTTTTTTTTTTGTGAATATGGATTTGTTTTCATATTGTTATGGACATTTTGAAGTTACCTTATGCAATAACTGACATCCTAAGTTTGGTTGGCGTGATCAGTTAAATAATTTTAGAACATGAAAGTGGACTTCAAACGAACATTTTGATAGGGCTTCTTTGTTGGGGGAAAAAGATCAAATTGATTGTGTTAATTTCTGTCCATTCCTGGTTTCTGAACTTTCACTAGTTTCTTCTCTGTACTTCCCAATTGTTTGTAATTGTTTTGTTTAACTTTTTCTTTATTAGTGTAATTGAATCTCCTAAAATTTCAGGCAATTGAAAATTCTTTGGTTACTGAAGGCTCTGAAGTTTCTCCCTCTGAGTTCCCTGAATTAGCGGGTACAATGGCTGAGGCAGTTGTCACTGGCACTGAGTCGAAGAATACTGAATCACAGAGTTTACTTGCATCTACACAGAAACAAAATAAGGTGCTTCAGTCAGAAAGTTCAACTGTGAGTACCACTGCCCACCTTCAGGCACTTCTCAGCATCCTCATGAAAGTGGAATTGCATAAAATGAGACTGAATTGCAATGTTATGATCTTAAGGGAAGCATGCATATCCCAAATATTTTGGAGACACATACCAACCCAAGCTTGAATTAGTTCAGTGAATGTTTCTTCCTCACTAAAATACTTCTGTATATTATAACTTTTGTATTTATTACTCTGTAGATTGGAGTGACTGTTCAGGTGCAGAAGAAGCCAAACCGTGCTTTCGGTGCCCTTCTAGGAGGTTCTGGGAAGAGGAGGAATGCATCTGATAGAAAGGTTAACTTTCTGCTCATCACATATTCTTCTATTTTTGGTGCAATGTTGTTCATTTCTTATTATTGACAACTTAGTTTGCATTTTAATTTTGCTTTCTTTTGCTGTTTGGCCTTTTGCGCCTGTTTATGTTTGTCACTATCTAAACATGACTTGTACATTAATGAACACGTTATCAAATTCCTAAGATTAAATTACCCTGTGATCCATTAGAAATTCTTTGATCTTGTGATTGATACCAACAGGAGGATTCAAAACTGGAGCAGATAAAGTCCTCGGTGAACCTTCCTTTCCATACATTTGTTGGCAGCGAGGAAGGCCTGCATTCGATGGTTGAACTAAATGCTATGCCAGTGGACAATCCACACAGAGAGGAGCCCATGGCTAATGGTGCAGAAGATTTTATATCATTGGTGAAGGATTCAGCAAATACAGGTGCAGCAGTTGAGAATGAATCAATGGAGGATGATGAAGATAAAGCTGCAGCAGTTGAGAATGAATCTATGGAGAATGAGGAAGATAAAGCTGCAGCATCTGAAAATGAATCTGCTGAGAATAAGGTAGATAAAGCTCTAGGTTCTTCGTCAGATGTTAAAGATGGAGACGAGACATCTGCATTACGAGCTGGTTTCGAGAAGTTGGCTACCAAAGGTTTTCTGCAAATAGAGCCATTTGACTATGAAGCTGCAAGGAAGCAGGTAATATTTGGTGAGGATCCTGGCCGAGATTCGGGGCCTGGGGATGCTGACCATGGTAGGAACAGGATTGATAAAGCAGATAAAAGAAATAGTTCTTTTCCGGGGGATTTACCGCAGGGTAGGAGGCGCCAGGCATTTCCATCGTCAGGGAATCGAAGTGCTACTTTCCGGTGATCTTGCATAGATCTGTAGTATGCAAGGTCAAATCTTTTGTATGCTTCTCTGCATTGTAAACAGTGAATCCATTGTACTGTAGTAAAAGACTTTTGGATGATGATATCCCTGGAGGTTAGGTTATATTGGTATGTCCAATACACATCTTCCTGCTAAGCTTTCACAACAGTTAAAAAAAAAAATTGCGCTTTCGTTCATTCGTGAGGTGACAGTGTATCGTGTCTTTGCCTTATAGTTGCTTGTTTTTGATTTATCCACCGAGTTATTGGAACAACTGGTGAGTTCTGAAAAGGTTTCATTCACGTTGGTGGTGATGATATTAATAGTAAGGTAATTGGAGAAAAAACTACAGATTCTTTTTTCTTACAAAATCCAAAAGGAGACGGGGAAAAAACTTTACGAAATCAATCACATCATTTCACAAAGTTTGGACAATTTAGCATATGGGAACGGGGTTATTTTTTTTGTCATCTCCAAACTTTTCACTGATTTTTCAAATGGATGGAAACAATTATTTTCACAAAACAAGGTCAATTATCGGTCTCATGTCAATTTGATGCATGTAAAATTGAGAAGTGCCCGAGATTACTTCCCTAAATCGGGTTACGACCAAATGTGGGCTTGTTTAGACGTCAACTTACATTTCATTTTGTCACTTAAAAGTGAAAAGTGTTTCAAATTGAAAACTAAATGAGAAATAAAAATATTGTTTGGATGTTGGTTTTAAAAAAAAGTATTTTGAACTACATTTTGAAATATCAAGTATAAGTCATCACTAAACAATTAAATACTGTCAATTATAGTCACTGCAAAAAAAAAACTTTTCTAAAAACAATCACTCTACAACGGAATCCTGTAAAATTTGTCACTTAACTATATGTAGTTCTAGTTATTACACTAACAAAAAGTATTTCAAGTTAGAATTTAAAATGTAAATTAGAAATTTGTTTAGATGATATTTTTTTTTCATTGGATTTTATGTTTAAGAGGTAAAATGAGTTAAAATGTAAAATGAGTTTACAAACAAACAAGCACGTAGTTTCTAAAACCATGACTGGTGAGTTTTGGGGGAAAAAAAAAAAAGAAAGGTAAACGGAGCTGAGGTCTAGGTCATTTGGCCACTTTTAACGAAGACAAAGACCTCGCTGATGGCATCAGCAGAAGGGTCTTTTCCCTAAAAAATTTAATTAAAACAAAGGTGGACAAATTTAAATTTTTCAGAATATTTGTGGACATGAATATATTCCACGGATTTCCGAAATCCGAGTTATAATTAAAATTGAGAACTCGGATTTCCGAAATCCGAGTTTACCTCGGATTCGGATAATTAGTTTTAGTTTTAATTAAAATGAATTCAGATTTTCAAAATCCGTTTTCTATTAAATTCGGATTTCCGAAATCCGAGTTTACCTCGGATTCGGATTTTTGAAATCCGAAGGATATAGATTTGTCCACAAAAATTTCAAAAAAATTAATTTGGTCTACCTTTTTTTAAAGAAAATTGTTTAGGTCAAAAACTCATCAGCAGAATCCCGAAAGCATAGGAATCATGAATGTACAAATAGCGGACGAGTAAAATGTCCAAATGATCATTTACATTTGGGCTTACTTGAAATTACTTCGCTAACATTAATATTTCAATATCGTAGTCCAAAACATTATGTTTTCAAACTTTTTTGGTCCTATTTCACTATTTCGATCACTTTTTTGTCAAGCTCGATATTGATCGGCTGTTGACTTGCCAGAATCAGGGGTATTTTCATCTTTTCACTTAATTTAAATTTCTATTAAAATTTTAAATCATTAAAAATATTATAAAATTTAAATTTATTATTTAATTATTAAAATATTATTTATATTTTTTGTTACAAAAATATTATTTATTAATTTAAATATTATTATAAAATTTACATTATTTTTAAAAAATTATAAAAAATAAAAAATCTATTTTTCTTCACCACGTTCTTCATTGAGCGACTTACCTCCAAGTTCAGATTCAGGAACTCCACCTCCAGAAGACGGCGGTGGCAGCAACAGCAGTTCATTACCGCCACCACCATCTAATAATAATCAAAATTCTCCGCCACCACCCGACAGTAGTAAAAGCAACAAATCCCCACCACCACCGCTCACCACCCCCACCGCCACCGCCACCACCCGACAGTAGTAAAAGCAACAAATCCCCACCACCATCGGTCACACCCCCACCTCCACCACCACCGCCCCCACCTCCTTCGCCACCACAAAAATTCAACCCGGGGAAAGAGACTCTAAATCAAAGAAGAACGAGCCAAAGCCAAATTTTAGTCACCCACTTACGTCTTGGTTGGAATCGATATAATGTTTCTTCCACCCTTTAAGTCAACTTTGTGTCCGATCAGATTTGCAGCTTTTTATGTTCTTTTTCCCCATTCCCCTGATTTTCTGCTCAAATTGAGATGTAATTATTGATGGTATAATTTGAGTGATTTTATAATGCAATGCTACTCTTCAGTTCTTTAGTGTCTATCAATATTTGGCCCTGAAATCTCAGTGACATTTATGATCGTGATTTTATTTCTTCCCAATTTCTACATTTCAGCACTTGTGGGATTTCCAGATAATCAAATGAAATGAATTTTTTTTTATCTGTGCGGGATTTGGGATGGTATAATCCAAAAATTGAATTGGATGATGGTAATGGTGAAAATGGATGGCTCAAACGATTGATCAAGTTATCATTTAGCTATGGCTTTTCTCTTATTTGGAACTTTGGATGGGTTTTGCTTGACGTTATCGTTCTCTTTCCGGCGAAGGTGGTGGTGGGGATTTGTTTGGATGGGTTTTGTTTTTTTTAATAATATGAAAGTTAAATTTCATAATATTTTTAATGATCTAAATTTTAATAGAAATTTAAATTAAGTGAAAAGACGAAAATATCCTTAATCGGCAAGTCAACAGCCGGTCAACATCGAGCTTGACAGAAAAGTGGTCGAAACAGTGAAATGTGACCAATGGGACCAAAAAAGTTTGAAAAAATATAATGTTTGAGACTATGATATTGAAATGTTAATGTTAGGGACGTAAATTCAAGTAAACCCAAATATAAAGGATCATTTGGACATTTTACTCATAGGGGACAGATTTTCTGGCTTTGATTCATGCGCTGAACGAACAGGATTCTGCACTAGTCGAAATCCAAAACCTCAAAGAAAGTAATACCTATGCAGGACCTTAATATGAAGTCAAATAAGCCCAATAAGCCCAATGTGTCCAACAAAACCAACTCATCGAACGTTCCAAACTTAGATATCATCGAGTCTTCTTCAAGTTTTGCTCTGGGTCAAAACGACGGGAAGAGCGACTATGGGGTTAAACCGAAAGGAAAAGGGGTCAAAGTTAGCAACAACAGGAAACAACAGGAAGAAGCTAATCAGAGCCAAGATAGATTTATCTTTCCGGTATTAGGGTGGGCCTCTGAATTTTCAATCCCAACAGAAGGGGGAAAGAAGAGGAGTAGACTCTCGCCGAAGTAGAAGGAGGCACTGCCGCATCCGGGGCTTGCTGAAATGGCTGTAGATGTCGGCCAAGAATCCTTAAAGCCTCCTGATACTCATTGGAGTGAGATGGTTCAGGCTGTATCGACGACAAGTACGTCGGTAAATTCTGACCTGGAAAGTGCCAAGCCTCCGGACCCGGTTCGGGCCATTCGGAGCGAAGCAACACTGGAAGAAATCATGACTGATGTGGAAGAAAGGGTTCCTAATACAAGAACCTAGGTATGGGTCTCTACTGTACGTGCCTCCTTTTCAATTTTTTTTTATTAAATGAGTATTATAGCTTGGAACGTACAAGGAGCAGGGTCTGTAGGGTTTAGACCTGCTGTAAAACATATAATCAGAGAATATATGCCTGATATTTTGATAGCGTTGGAACCACGAATCAGTGGTGAACGGGCTAGGACAGTAATTAGGAGCTTGGGATTTAAGAATTGGTTTTTTGAGGAAGCTGTTGGCTTCTCCCGAGGCATTTGGGTACTATGGAATATTAGTAATGTAACTGTCAAGATTTTAGCGTCATCCAAGCAGTGGGTTCACTTCCGTTGGGAGTTAGGAAGGGATCACGGCTTATGCACAGCCGTGTATGCTTCCCCTGCTGTACAGGTGAGAAAGGGACTATGGCAGGACCTGACGGCACTGAAAATACAGTGTAAGGAACCTTGGGTGGTTATTGGAGACTTGAATGTATATCTGAATGCAAATGAGAAAACAGGGGGAGCACAGTTTAATAGCGCAAAATGCCGCGAATTGAATGACTTCCTCTACGAAAGCGAGTTACAAGACATGGGGTTTGCTGGTCCGAGATTCACATGGAGAAAGGGGAAGAATAGCAACTTACAGGAGAGACTCGACAGAGCCCTTTGCAATTCAGAGTGGAGACTGAGGTATCTTGAAAGCTCGGTCACCCATCTCAGCAGGATTAAATTAGACCAACAGGCCAATCCAACTCAAACTGGTGCATAACTCAACACCCGAAGTAGCGGAAAGGCCGTTTAGATTCCAGGCTTGTTGGTTAACACACGAGCACTTCAAGGAATTTGTTCGGGCTGCGTGGGACTCAAAAGTCGAATATTGTGTGGCAGAGACAGAGTTTAGGGGTAAACTGATTAGCTGGAACAAGAAGGTTTTTGGTAACATCTTTGCCAGAAAAAGGAGATTAACCAGAAGACTAGAAAGGTTGGAGTATCATTTTAATTCTAATCCTTCTGATTGGGTGCGTCTTCAAAGAGACTCGGTTCAAAGGCAACTGGAAGAAACATTGATCCAGGAGGAAATCTTGTGGTTCCAAAAGTCCAGAACCAGAGGGTTGTAATTCGGGGATAAGAACACCAGATACTTCCACCTGAGTACATTGACAAAAAGGAAGAGGGCCCGAATTGAGAAGCTACGTAATGATGAAGGAAAGTGGATAGATGACCAGCACCAACTTAAGGAAATGGCGGTTGATTATTATAAAAAGCTATTTGCAAGGGAACTGAGGCAAGGTAGCCAGATAAAGTGGTTCTCAGATTTCCCAGAACTAAATCAGAGTGAAATAGATGCCTTGGTGAAACCGATTTTAGCAGTCGAGGTTAGGAAGGCAGTCTTTGATATGGGGCCGTACAAAGCGCCGGGCCCAGATGGATGGAGCCTCATCTTCTACCAAACCCAATGGAACATAGTCGGGCCATCAGTTATTGAGTTCGTTACCAATTGTTTCCAGGAGGGAAGAGTGCCAGAACAATCAATGAGACTCTTTTGGTCCTAGTTTCCAAAACCAGCCAGCCTAGCCATTTGTCCCAGCTAAGACCTATAAGTCTGTGTAACGTGACTTATAAGGTACTAACGAAGTTGATAGCCAACAGGTTAAAGCCGCTTATGGGGAAGTTGGTTAGTCCAACTCAGACGAGTTTTGTGCCTAGAAGAAAATTGGCGGATAACACATTAATCCTACAGGAAGTCACACACTTTATGAGGTTGAAGAAAGGTAGAAAATGCTGGATGGCTATAAAGATAGACCTGGAGAAGGCGTATGATCGCTTGGAATGGGATCTTATTGGAAGAACTCTCTCAGCAGCGGGGCTGCCGGATAAACTTGTGGAAATGGTCAAGTGCTGCCTATCAACTTCGAGCTTCAGCGTCCTATGGAACGCCAGAGTCACTGATAAATTCTAGCCATCAAGGGGGATAAGACAGAGGGATTCTCTTTCTCCGTATATTTTTGTACTTTGCATGGAGATTTTGGCTCATAGCATAGTAGCTTCAGTAAATAAAAATGAATGGAAAGCAATTAAAATAGGAAACGGTCCACTAATGTCCCATTTATTTTTGCAGATGACCTATTTTTATTTGCTAAGGCTACTGTAGATCAGGTGGCGATAATTAAGGGTGTTCTCTCTGATTTTTGCAGGGCATCCGGGGAGAAGGCCAACAAACAGAAGACCAAGATATTCTTCTCGCGGAACACACCCCAACAGCTGAAAAGGGACATAGGCGACTTTGTTTGGGTTTGGCGTCACAGGTAACTTGGGTAAATATCTGGGATCCCCATTGGTACATAGCAGGGTTACGAAGCAAACATATAATGAAATGGCAGAAAAAATTAGAGGAAAGCTGTCCAGCTGGAAAACGAACCAACTGTCGCTAGCAGGGAGGATCACACTAGCACAGTCGTGCTTGCAATCAATCCCTATGTTTCAGATGCAAACCGCAAAGTTGCCAGCCTTTATCTGTGACGAGGTTGATAAACTGATCAGAAAGTTTGTATGGGGCTCTACGGCGGATAAAAGGAAAATACACTTGGTGAATTGGGACACCGTGTGCAATGAGAAGGAGAAGGGTGGTCTCGGTCTGAGGAAATCCTGTGAGAATAACATGGCATTTTTTATGAAGATTGGGTGGGAGTTGTTAACAAAGGAGAAGGAGTTATGGATGCAAATACTAAGAGCTAAATATTTGCAAACTAGAGGGGGATTCATTAGTTTTGAGAAGGAACAAGAATGCTTCGATAACTTGGAAAGGAATGTATGATATCTTCCATTTAGTCCTAAAGGGCTTAACGTGGATAATAGGGAATGGAAGGACGGTGAGATTTTGGCAAGATTCTTGGGTAGAGGGAGCGGGCAAACTAGAGGAGAGAGCTTTGAGGCCCATTCCAAGTGAGTGGAGATCACAACCAGTTCTGGACTTTACCAAACCTGATGGTAGCTGGGATACGGCAAAGTTTAGTCCCTTCCTCAGCCAGGATTTGGTGCACCAGATTCGTGAAATGCCACCCCCGGCGGAGAGCTTGGGAAAAGATAAACCGTTGTGGCTCTTCAATAGGTCCGGTAAGTTCTCTTTGAAATCGGCTAATTCTTTGGCACTTGACGATTCTATTTTGCAGGCAGATAAAGATTGGAAGAGGGTGTGATGCTGGAAAGGGCCTCAGAGAATCAGGTCGTTCCTGTGGCTAATACTTCATGACAGATTGGCAACTAATAAATTGTGCAAGGAAAGAGGAGCTACCATAGCTGATGTTTGTCCGTTATGCAACGCGGATGTGGAATCAACAATCCATGCGGTGAGGGACTGTCAACTCGCACGGCAAGTGTGGCTGCAGGTAGTACCTGGATCTCGGAGTCAGAACTTCTTCCATCAGGATATCAAGCAGTGGATTAAGAACAACCTAGATGCAAATGATTTCAAATGGGGGATTAGTTTTGCCATTACATGCTGGTTAATTTGGGGTTGGAGAAATGACTCTGGGTTCAATGGAGCTACCATGTCTGTACAAAAAGCAATCAGAATTGCAACAAAAAAAACAGCAGAGATCAGGAATTGCAATGACATGCTTAAATGGCAACAAAGAGGGATTACACCCCAGGGATGGAGATCCCTGAAAAGCGAGAGGATAAAGGCGAACTGTGATGGGGCTGTCTGTCTATCCTCTGGCAAAGCTGCTGCAGGAGTTATTTTCAGGGATGCTCGTGGTCAGTTTTTATATGCCTGCAACAAGAGAATAAGGGGTACATGCTCGATCGAATCAGCAGAAATAAAAGCGATTAGACTTGCCATGGAAGTGGCTAGTAACCGAGGAATCACCAACGTAGTCGTAGAGATTGACTCTCAGGTGGCCTTTGATCTTGTTAGAAGATTGAAAGGCCAAACACAGATTCCTCTAGATCCGGAATTAAGGCGTATATACGCACTTCTGCTAACTAGGTTTAAACTTCATTGGGAGGCGTATAAACCTATGAGAACAGGTTTAAACTTCATTGGGAGGCAACTGTTCAACTGTACAAAATTCCAAACCATACAACTTCTTACTAGGAACTAATACTGTGTTGTCAACCTACTGGAAAATAATAAGTGGTACACATGCTTAATGAATTAACGATTCATAATGATTCATTGAACGTAAATGCAAAATCACATCAACCTGCATTTTCTGCTGCATTTCTGATTCCTCAAAGTAAACATGATCCTATAGTGGGGTTTGACTCCATCTCAAAATGATCTACTTGTTCCCGATGCCAAGAAGAGAATGAACTAAATAACTAGTAACCGAAACAAAAAGGGGGGCTTTGCAACCTATGTACTCTCATCTGTATATCTCAAAATACAAGCCTCAAAACCTATATGAGGTTCGCTCTCTTTAGAAATCTTATTGTTCGGCAGTAATAAGGCCATATTGATTCCACAAAGTCCAGATATTTTTCCATGAAATATACCTGCAATTCTTTCATCCTTCTTATAAACTCCTCTTTCTGAAATAAGTTCTTCACATCAACCAGAGGTTGTAATAGATGCTTTCTTACGAGTTCATTAAGCTTCCCATGGAAAATAAATTGGTGAATCGCCACTAAGTAGGTAGGCAAGTTCCGGATCACTTTAACTGTCTGCTTGAAGCTGAAAACATAAAGCGCACCTATGCCTCTGAGCAACTTAATATATAGAGCCACAATTAATGGCCCTCCAACCCATAAAGGAGCTAACTCTCTTGTCACTTCAGCTCCATACTTGAGATTCACAGCCAGATAAAGGGGGACACTGCACATGTAAAAATTGAATCAATGGTATTTGTAACACAGTGGTCAGCTGAGAATCAGAGAATAGCATATAGCATAACTAATTTTTAAATACAAATTTAGCCACACTAGTAGCAGCTAGAAAAATTTTAAACTACATCAATGTGACAGGATATCCAATACCAAGGAGTTTATACAAGAGGCATATGTTCACACACTCTAAGAACAAACCAAATGCCATGTATGCATGGAGAAGAATGCTAGATGTTTCACTAGGAAAAAATGATTTAGCTGAAGTGGGGTTGTCCAAAATAGTGGTTTCACTAGGAAAAAATGATTTAGCTGAAGCAGATTTGTCCAAAATAGTGGTTGATTTACTTATACTAACGCAGTTGAAAACACAACAATTACTCCCTTCATTCCAAAATGATTGCCCGGCTTGGATTTTTATTTTTAGAACAAACTGTAATAAAAGTCAATATTCAAACAGGACAATCAATATGGGACAGAGAGAGTACTAAACCTGTTATACCCATTATGTTAGGCCAGCTATAAGGACCATAACTCTCCCTTCTATGTTAAAGAAATTTGCTCATTCATATTTGAGTATATTATGTCATCTTTAATAGTTTCATTCTAGTTCTTTAACTGATAAATTCTAGTCCTTCACTGATAAATTCAGAGGAAGCAACTCTGTCGCCCGACTAACCTTAAGAAGAATTCTATGGGTTCTCCTAAGTATATATGCTCACCACACCCAACATTCATCTATTGAAGCTGCCCTCTCACACCTCAGATTCTTTAGCATGCATCCATCCGAGCAACATCAATCCTGCTGCAGTACACACTTTTAGTAGTACTTAGTAGGCCAAAACTTAGATCTGCTAAACATAACTAGTCTTACAGCTGTTTGTAAAATGTTCAACAATACTATAGTGACTACGAAGGATCAAGGCTCCGCAACCCCTTTTCTCCCACAATTACTCACTTCGTCGCGAAATGATTCCCCGGTTTGGATTTTTATTTATAAAACAAACTGTACTAAAAGTCAACATGCAAACAGGACAATCAATATGGGAAAGAGTACTAAACCTGTTATGTCCATTATGTTAGGCCAGATATGTGGACCATAACTCTCCCTTCTAAGTTAAAGAAATTTACTCAATCATATTTAAGTATATTAGGTCATCTTGAATAGTTTCATTCTAATTCTTTAAAGTCTACTTCCCTTAGATTCAGAGGATGAAAGTCTGTTGCCCAACTAACCTCAAAAAGAATTCTGTGGGTTTTCCTAGGCATAAATGCACACCACTTCCAACATTCATTTATTGAAGCTGCCCTCTCTCACCTCATATAATTTAGCATGCATCCATTGAAGCAACATCAATCCTGCTGCAGTACACACTTTTAGTAGTACTTCGTAGGCCAAAACTTTGATTTGCTAACCATTACTTGTCTTGCAGCTGTTTGTAAAATTTTCAACAACATTATAATAACTATGAAGGATCAAGGCTCCCCTAGCCCTTTTCTCCCACCATGACTAATACTTTTTGGTTGTGCTTAGTAGGCAAAAACTTCGATCTGTCAAACATTACTAGTCTTACAGCTGTCAATAAAATTTGTCAACAATATTCGAATGATTACGAAGCGTCAAGGTTCCCCAACCCCTTTTCTCCAACCATGGCTAAATACTGTTTTGTATCTTTGTCAATGACTCCCCCTCCCCCAAAAAAATCATACATTTGTACTACTTTCGATACACTTACACCTGCACCCTATTTTTCACACCCTTTTATTGCTTTACCAAAGAATAAACAAGGTACATGATTGCCAATCTTTTATTACCTTGCATCTCCCCCATTATTATTATTATTATTTTCTTTTTTGGTAACAATAGTGCAGAAACTAAGGGCCAGTTACCTAACATAATACAATCAGTAGCAGTTATACTGTCCTGCTGTTGCGGCAAGTCTACATGACTCTGGGCAACTTAAAAAATATATACGAAAGAGCGACCAGAGGCAGAAAGGTAGTTTTCCCTAAAAGTATGCTTAAAGCGTACTTCCCATTGGGCTTTCAAAAGATTCAGCACTGTAATTTCAAAAGTAATGACAGAGACCATGAATCAATGATTTGAAATAATGGGGACGAATGATGTGGCATAAAAAAAGACAACCATAAGTCAAAATTTTTACTATTCCAACTATATAAAGGGATGAGTATGGCTTTTCATCCATGCCCATATCTAAGTCACATAATCATGTAACAACAAGACAGAGAAGAGGAGCCAGTCAGCTGACTCTCTGATGTGAAAGGATGGACTTATATAGGTAGTCAGAAAAGCAAGGAGGAAAAAAGAAAACTTACAAGGTAACTAAAGATATACTTATTGAAATAGGTAGACTCCAAAAGAAAGACCAGACTGCTTTTAGAATGTGGACTCTTTCTTTCTGTTCCGTGGAACTCTGTGTTTCAGATGTCTCCATTGAGGATGGCTGTTCAGCACTTCCATTTACAGCATGGTTTTGGGATGGCATCCGCAGCAACATTAACCAACTTTTGAATAGATTTTGTATGGCGAGCGAACCCGGAGCTGATTCTGATTCTGAAGTGTATGAAGAAGCTGGGACACTCTGTGGCTTCGAAGACTCTGTCAAACTGGCTTGGCTGTCTTGCGGTGTATATGAAAGTCCTACCGAGTTTTTCAAGAACTTGGACCCAGTAGTCTTACCTGCTGATTCATCATTTTGGTTATTGCTCTTGAAGGCTGATAATTTCAGTAATTTTCTCTTTGGTTCAATGACGAAAGGGACTTTAACTCTGGGAAAAACAATATCTCGTCAGGTTCAAACAGAAAGGCAGTGGTAGTGACAATTAATAGTTTCTAAAAGAACAAGGAGCACATTTCTGAAACACATCTACACTGAGTTCGGCAAGATTTACTAGGTGATCAAACAGGAAAAATTCTTATGATTTTATGACAGAAATGCCATAATCTTGAAAAAAGTTTTTCCCTCCAAGGATTCGCGACAACTTGTTGCCAGAAGGGAAGTTGAACGTCGATGATTCCTCTAGTTACACAAGTAAAACTATTTGTTCCAGGAAATCAAATTAATCGCTGGTAATATACTTTACAAACGAATTTTCCATTCGACCTGCTCTGAAGCAAGAAGGAAACGACCAGTTGCTTCATCCACGAAGGACTACATTTCACAAAGAGAATACATTTCAGCTACCAATAAGGAAGCTTTTATCTGTAAGAAAGGAATTCTTAAACCGAAATTCTACAGAATACAAGATTACAAAAACCTTTGCAACTGAAATATTCAGGTCACACAAATATTTCTTAAAACTCACAAGCAGCCAAATGATACGCAGGCTAAATCAATGAAATAATAAGCAGTCATGCGGTTGAATAAGATGGATTTTAAGGAAAAAATCATCATTTATGTAAGTGAAGATTGAGATAATCTAAAGATGCATCAAGCATAAAATTTCAAGAAAATCCCATCCAACAGTGATAACGAGGAAACAATATAGCACAGCAAACACCAGCGTTACACAACAATCTTTACACATCTATTTTCTCCCAAATTACACGGGATCACATAAATATTTATTCTTTAATATATTAAATCATTAGGATTAAAGAACTAAGTCAACCTAACCTCTTTTAGAGTGATTGGAAAAAAATTTGGGACACCTCTCGAAGAAAGATGAAAGAACTTTCAACTTTGTCAGTGTATTAACAAAACTTTCTTAAACCTCAACAATTACATCTTAATAAAGGTTGCTTTTATGTTATTTACATTCTTGTGGAACGATAAAAACCCCTTAACAAGAATTGTCAATAAATTGAATGAATATCTTCACTTGTAAACAGAATCAGAGGGAAGGAAAAAAAAAATACTATAAGTCCTAACCTTAAACAGGATTTGCACTTTAAGAAAATAAACCTCTCATTCCGCCGAAGCGCATAGTTTTGCGAGAAAAAAGGTACTGACTTCCTAGCAACTTCAAGTGATTCATGCCTTGAGTCAAATATTTTATTAGAAGCCTGTACAATGAAAGAGCAACAATTTGTCAACACATGGTTGTAAGAGAAGTACCCTGTTGAAAATAATTCGGACAAGATGCAAAATGCTGATTTATAGGAACTGCAGATAGTTCAAAGGGTAGACAGAACCTCACACGAAATAGGAATTCAACTAACATGTAAGCTCCTGGCAATAAGCGCAATGGTACATTCTGATGCCCTAAAACTTAGGCTTTATTTGAGTATTGCTCATAATCTACATCCAGTGATGACTCTATATTACATAGCTTCTTCACTAACTAATTCATAAAGCATCATTGATCAAACTTTAGTCAATCCCAATTTTCATTAAACATTTATAATTAGACAATCAACTTTCACTTCCTTCGAGTTAAGAAGCTAAATGGGGCATAAGATTCTTGTATTGCACTAACTGAATATGAAGTCACTACTCTAAAGCGTTGAATCTATATTGAAACAAACTGAATAGATACAGCAGAAAACATTCCAAGAAATTTGTCTCAAAAACTATCTCATTTAATTGTTTCCGAGCTCGCAAAGAAAATCGCAAACAAATTTAACCCAAACTTATAGAAGCGAAATTCAGACAAAATTAAAAATGGGCAAACACAAAATTCAAAGAGGAAGCGTCAAAAACAGAAGGATTAAATATAGGAGTGCATTACCTGAGGCAACAAAGGGTCAACTTTAAAACCCGAGTTGAGAAAATCGCGTGTTGGTTGAGCTATCACAGCATTCATTTTGAGGTTTATAAGTCTCCGTCTCGGTAAAAACAAGGGGGAGGATCAACAGAATCAATGGCAGTGCAACGTTTGAACGGGAGAGAGGGGAAGAAGGAAGACAGGAGGTGGGCTGGGTTTTCCGGGCCGGAGAATAGCGGTGGAAGACGGTGGACACTGGAGGAGGGAGGAGGAGCTGAGAGGATAAAATTGGAGGGATACGAAAACGGGTTGGGTTACTGGTACCGCACTGGATTTGGGGTAACCATGAGTTATATATTTTTAATTTTTTTTTTTATTGAACATTATATATATGAGTTGGATGGGTAAGTATTAAGTAAAGCCCAAAAAAATAAAATGCTGGATAATATGATTATTTATGCATTCACTAATAATATTGCCCGTCCCGCTAACCACAAGACACCATCTTTAGAGTAACTGAAATTGCATATTTTAATTGTAAAACAAAAAAAATTGAAAAAGAAAACAAAAAAAATCGACCTATACATAGAGAAGTTGTTCGTGCGAAAATAGTTCAAATAGAAACCGACAAGCGCTAAAACAACTTTAAACGAATGTGTGCAATCCGCGAAATACAATGTTTGACAAAGTGCGAAGAACAAAGCTTAAAATTACAATAAAAACGATGAATAAAGGCGAATCGCCAGGAACTTGATTAATTAAACGAATTACAATAAAGTAAATCAAAAAGAAGACTTGCGAATACTTGTAAAAAAACAAAAAGGTGTTGAAAAGTAAGAACTTGTAAAGAAAGAGAGCTTTTGCAGCTTGTTAGTTGTATGTGTTAATGATGAGTTTTGTCGATGATAGAATCCTATATCTCTTTATATATATTTCGGCAATTGACCAGAGTCGGTGCAATCACCCGATTCCTAGTTGGTTTCGGTATCCTTGTCTTCGATTTAGAATCACAATCGGACTTTATTTTTAAACTCTTCTTCTATATTACTTGTATTCCGATTGGTCTCCTTTTCCGCTTTGGACTGGTGTATCGCGTCGAGTGGATTGGGCCAATTCACGACTCTTTTTGGGGCGACACGATTTGTAAAGTCGGTTTCAACATAAAGTCTCCCCAAAGCACAACTCATTACTTTGATGTGATGTGCCTTTGAATATCTATCGGACCAACAATGGATTGGCCTGTTAGTTGTAGCTCACGAATAGATGAATGAAAAATGGTGTAAGGTGGCCCCCTAGCCAAAGGCGTGTGCTTTGGCGTGTGCGAAGAAGAACGTCTTTGGGTAAAAATACCGAACTGATAAGAACCAAATATGCCCGTTAAGAGGAGCATTGAATAACAGAATTGAATCCCTCGAATAGAGGAGATATTCTCCTTATAGGTTCAACTGGAGAGCAGCGGTCAAATCCCAACCAAATCTCCTAGTTCTGAACTTTGTTTCTCCGCTACTTCAAACAAAAATCTCGATTGAACTCAAATCACAACCTTGAATTCAATTGCACTTAGAAATCAATACAGGACGAATGGCTGGTGGCTATGCTGTGAAATTTGACGCGGAACTGGCGAAAGAACACCAAAGTGGAGCCGGATGAGCTGCTCGAATTGTCGTCGGACTTTGACGATCTGCTAAACGCACATGGGCAGCCGCGTCATTACTCCTTGGGGCCAAGCTTAATGGTGGGTAATGCCACTCTCAGTTGCTATGTTCCGACCCACAACTTTCGGTGTTCTGGGTTTGACCGGATTCGATCATGGCCGTGGCCGGAAAAGGGCGAGATTCATAATGAATTTTGCGCATGGACTAAGAAGATGGAGAAACTTCACGCTGAAACCTGGAAGCAAGTGGGTATTTACAACTTGATTTAATTCTGCAAAATCGGAATGTTCGACAATAAAGTGCTGCTAGGAGTGGCGGCGCGGTTCTGGAGTAGTTCTAGCAACAGTTTCTGCTTGCCGTAGGGAACGATAAGCCCAACACTCTTAAATGTCACAGTAATCACGGGGTTACCTATGATAGCAGAGGTGAACATTGATGGCAACACGGAGGAAACCAAAGTGGCGGAGGCCGGAGAAGGGCAACAAAGGAGCCATGGAGGATACATTTGAGAGAAAATTAATAGAGACCCAAAAGATCCTATGCAACATATCAGATGCCTCGCTTTGTGGTTGAATCGCTATATCATATGTGGTAAGTCTTTTTAAATGACACAAGATATGTACCATATGGCTGCTTTAGCAACGGAGAAGTCTATAAACTTGTGTGAAATAAGGTTAGCTATGATGTTCGATGGAATGTGTGAGATTCAAACTTTGCCTGGTGAAACTGTTTTTGATCCTATGTGGCTGCTTGTTTTGTGGTTCTACTTATATTTCCCGTCTTTAAGGGTTCCAGGAGTCAAAAACAGTGTAGGATTTGTGTTTGGGAGTGGCACACATAGGTGTACCTAGATATGACAACAAATTTGTAGCCACAGTTCTTTGGGAGTCGGAACCAGATATACTTGTGGCCCTGAAAGAATTGTCTCATGGTCATTGGCATGCTAGTTTTGGGGTACACACTGTAGTAGAAGCGCAATCAGGGGTGTGGAATGACAGGAGCACCCCAAGATTGACCAGTGTGTGAAAACGTTTGCTGGTGCCAAGGGACCTGTATTATGGGTTCAAGAGTTTGAAGGCACAGAGTGGGGAAAGCCATATGCATGCTGCGTATTACCCCACAGTAATGGTGGCTAGGCAGCTATGATTGGTCCATGGGATCCCATTTTTCGATGTAGCCTATTGGAACACCTGGGAACTTGGCAGGAAGAAGCTATCAATGCTTGATTACTATGAGCAGACAGAAGTAATGAATGAATGTTGTCGATCACGGAAGATTGAACCGTTTGACACTGTCACAGAGGTAGTAGGTGGTTTTGCAATCTGGTGGGAGCAGGTAATGAAGATAATGTACCCCACAGGGTTACCCGGAGTGGTGCAGGAAGTGCTGCCATTGGATGTAGGAATCCCCAAGGCGACGGTGGAAGAAGAACAAGCCCCACCTTGTAATTTCATAACTTGCCATGTTATTGGCTGTGATGCAGTGGTTCCAGGGAAGGCAACGACATCAGCAGCAGGGAAGGAGGCACAGAAGAGAAAGAATCCAGCCGGTGAAGACAAAAGTGTAAAGAGGAGGAAGTCCAGTCGGCTGACAAGAATAAAGAAACTGTCTGACAGCGGTTCCAAGGTATTCTATTTTCTATAAATAGATGTCACAGAACGCAGAAGTACAACCTAACAAACTCCTCTATCTTGTGTGTTACAGAGGCAAACGATTACAGTGAACCGAAGAGGAATCGGATGCCGGTGATGCAAAAGACACTGCAGAAACGATAGTGGAAGAAGCTGACAGCAGCCCTAGACAACATCTGTCACCATCAAGATCCAGTGAAAAGACTCCCAGGAAGGGTTCTACCCAGAAAGCTGGGACCAATACTCCTATTCCCACAGTGGAGGAATTGCAGAGACGTCTTTCCAAACAGGCCAAAGAAGCAGAAACTGTGGCAGCACCTAGCATCATTCCGGTGCAGCCCGTAGGAGTGGCATTAAGGGTGTTGCAAGAGTTATACAAGATCGACGCCAAAAAAGTGCATAGCCGATATCACCAAGAACTGAAGACGGCACTGAATATGATCATGGGAAGCGATTTGCCTGACACAGTAAGAGAAACGGTGGGTCTGTTCTTGGCCAATTTTGAGCAGAGAAAAATGAACTGTGAGATCTGTGTGAAACACGTGCAAGATTATAATCACGCAGCATGTGCTCATCAAGAAGATGAGGAAACAACCAAAATACTGGTGGAGCAACCAGTAGAAGCTGCAACAAAGGCCAAGGTGCTTGCTGAAAAACAAACTGCTTTAGAACAAGAACTAGCCACCATCCGGCAGCAAAGGCAAGAAGAAGATGAGATATATGTGAAAACAACCCAACAAAGTGCCACAGCCTTGGAAATGCGGGATAACAGAGCCCTGGATCTGAAAGAGAAAGCTGTGTAGCATGCGAATGCGCAACCAATCATTGCAGAGGCAGCTAAGATGTGGGACTTCTTGAAGGGTGGTTTGAAGGATATCCCAGTGCCGGAGGAAACACCGTCTACCAGTGTTGCTGCGGGAGAAGAGAAAGGTGAAGAGCAACCATAAGTGGAATCTACGCCACCAACAACCTTGGGACAAGCTAGTGGAACTGGAAGTACTGGTGTGGATCCAAAGGAATGAGAGGCGCAACGAGACCAATGGCATCCCAGCTGCGTGTAGAGCTTAATCAAGAAGATATGTGCCTAAAACACTTATTGGTGATCTGGTCTTTAGTTAATGAAATACTTCCTTGGTTATGTGTTTCTATACTTTGGGATTGTTGCCTGTACTGGGCATTTATGATAAATACCATCTGGTTGCAATTGCTTTAGCTTCTTCTTGGTGATGTTTGTCTAACTGTTCCCATCGTGAAAGATAATACTTTTTGAGATACACGGCATTGATGGAACGTTTGCTTATTTTCCCATACAAAGACGCCAAGGTATACACATTACGGCCCAAGTGGCGGTGGATGACAAATGGTACTTGCCAGGTAGGAGTCCATTTTCGAGATTTAGGATCGTGATGTCCAACCGGCAAAACTGCTTTCCAAACTTTATCACCAACCTTATTCACGTCATTGAACGTTTTGATTATATTGCTTGATAACAATGCTCTTCTCATATCCAATTTGACGGGCAGCATTGTTGCGGATTTCAGCCACTTGATCTTGGTGAACTTGCATACTCAATGCGTATTCAACCTAATCAATAGGATGTCGATTGGTAACACGGAGTGACGAAATTAAATGTTCAATGGGGATAACAAAATCATGCCCATAGACCAATTCATAAGGTGTAGCCTAGGTACCGCCACACTTAGACATCCGATAAGCCCACAAAACCTGTGGCAATAGTGCATGCCATTCTCTGGGATTGTCATTGAGGTGGCAACTCATGATGTTCTTGATTATTTTATTACTAGCTTCCACTTGACTGTTCTCTTGGGCAAAATAAGGAGACGAATGTGCAAGGAAGAAACCGCATCCTTAGCATGCATATCGGCACCAATGAAATATTGTGCTTGGTCTGTGACAATAAACTCAGGCAACCCAAACGGTATAAGATGTGCTCTTGAATAAAACAGATGACTGTTTTTTGATCAACATCTTTAAGTGGCACAACTTCCACCCACTTGGTAAAGTAGTTAGTAGCCACCAAAATATAACGATGACCATTAGAAGAAGAAGGGTAAATCATGCCAATCATATCTAAGGCCCAGCATCAGAAAGGCCATGGCTTAACAATAACTTGCATAGGTGCCACTGGCAGTCGTGGAATATCGCCATGACATTGACAATCGACACAACCACAGGCAAAAGAAATGCAATCCTGTGTCATTGGTATACGGTCGTTGACACCTCTAAAAGAAAAATTAACCTACGCAAAACTAATAGCAAGCAGTAAGTAGGGTTGATCCACAGAGACAACAGTGAATAAATAAAATCTGATTAATGTGAAAAAAGAACAATAAAACCGAGCAGATTGTCACTTGGGAGAGTGAGAAAGTCACTTAGCAGAGTATTAAAATATTAGGGCCATCCTCCTTCCTATCTATATGATCATGTATTGATTCTTGTAGTTCTTTTTACATATGAGCATTGTTTGATCAGGCACTTGTATTCTCTACCTTCCATGTCGTTACCAGTAAAGAGTCTCATCATAACCAAATTACCTCCATCTCTGTGATAAATATTCATTATCCCGAGTCATTGATTTCTTAAGCCTTAGTGATCACCTATGCTAATCAACTAACTCTTATTGATGATTGAAACCAAGGGTTCTTATCTCCATTGTCATAGACTAGTTCAAGCACTTCTAAAATTATATTCACCCTCTGCATGGCAGATTCTGTCTGCTCACTTGGGGAAGTCACTTGCTTGAGTGACAGTTTGCACTCTTCTTACTGCTACTTCCTGTTTTCTATCCTAACTAACTCTAACTGACTACTTTTGGAACTATTCTAACTTTCCAATTTGTTGTTTACATCTGCTATTGGTTGTCCTATTTATAGAGAATTGGAGAGGGCCTGAATGGTTGCTTCTTCTGGCCTTCTTCTTTGCAGCAGAGTAGGGGTACAACTTGCAGCAGAGAAAGGAATTGTTTAATTGAGCAACTAGTCAAATTTCCAGGTTGCCTTCTTTTGATTGGCTGCCTTTCTCCTTCTTCAGCCGTAACAGTCAGCTTCCTCTCATCATGGCTTTCTTCGTTAGTCTTCTTCTCCGGTGCCTTTGCTTCAATTCCAGCCACAAATATCCATTTCTTCTTTCTTTAATCTTCAGCATCCACCAGCAGCAGAAACAACAAGCAGCAGCATCAGTAGCATGCTTCTGTGTAATCATCATTTTCCTTCTTCATTCTTCTGTCTCAGCCTCCAGTTTAGCCTCCAATCTTCTGCTCTTCTCTTCCTTGTCTCCTGGGATTATCTGCAGCACCATTTCTCGCCTCCAACAGCAGCCATTTATTCTCTTCAATCACAGGCAGTAGCAGATGGCAAGTAGCAGAGCAGCTGCCACTTGATTCTTCATATTTTTCCCTCTTTCTCTTCTTCCACTTGCAGCAGCAGCTTCTTGCAGTGATGATGCAACAATCCTTTCCTTCAGCAGTAAGATTTTTAGCTTCCTTTCCTCTTTGATTGACATAATCAACAGCAACCTCAGCAGTAGAATGGCTGCAATTTCTTCTTCTTCCTTTGGCCTCCTTTTGCAAGGATCACCCACTTGTGATGATGCTGCAGCTATTCTTACTTCATCAGCAACTATTCAGCTTCTTGTTCAGCTCCAATCGATAAGTTCATCCCTTGATTTACAAGAGCCTCCAATCTGGTCCCTTTTAAGCTCTTTTTTCACATTTTGGCCCAATATTTCCAACAAACCCCACATTGGCCCTGTGATCACCGTGAAATATAAAATCAATCCAAAAGTAAACTAATTCTTAGATCATGTTGCAAATACATCAGAACCTTACTTTTTGACCCTCTTAGTATTCTTGTGCTTTGCTCTGTTAAATTACATCTATTCTCATTGCACCAAGTATAAGATACAAGGACCGTGGTAAGGAAAAGGGTGATCATACCATTCTTTGAAATTTTCTTTTCTTTCGCGTCTTCTGTGATGATTCCACCATATAAAATGGGACACTATGATCATTTTGGTGACGGTGGAGTTTATGAGGATGAAGATGACGATGGTGAGCTTTACTATAGACCTAGAAGAAAGATTTCTAAGTTCTATGGCCAGTGGGATGAATACATATATCTTGAGTGCAAGAAACATCTAGCGCAAATTTTCTCTTTAAATGACTTTTCAGAGGCGAAGAAAATCAAATTTGCTGTTTCAACACTTCTTGGAGATACAACTATATGGTGGGCTAACCAAGAACAAAAAACTCTTACTTCTTGGAAGGAGCTTCGTAAAAAACTTCATGAGGTTTTTGCTCCTTTCGTTCTCTATGAGATAGAATTAGAAAGGAAAAAGATGAAAGACTTGCTTGGAGCAGAGAGATGAGAGAACGTGCCCAACTTTGAGAACCTGAACAGAACAGAACTGAAGAAGAACAACTTGAAGCCATGAACAACCAAATCCATGAATTCCAAGATACCATGCAACAAGGCTTTCTTGAGATACGGCGAGGAATTAAAGAGCTGCTACAGAGGCTTGAAGAGGAGCAATGTGCAAAAGAAAATGAGAATAAAGCACAAAGACTTGAAAAGCAACAATGTGAGAAAGATCGTGAGCATGCTTTACTTGAAGCTGAAAAGGAGAAGGAATATTGTAAAGCATGTCAACATGAATTCAAGCAAGAGATACAAGATTTGGTTTTGGAAGATATGTTTTCTAACCATCTTAATTCTTTTGTTGTTTCTATTTATTGTCCACAGATAGAAGTTGTTGAAGACATTCAATCTAAGGTGGAAACAAACATCGAGGACGAAATTATCAAAGAGAATGTTCCTATAACTCTTGATATTTTTGCTCCTATTATTCCCATGTCCATTGAGCTTAAAGTTTTTGATGAACAAAAAGATCCAACTCTCATAAATTCATATGAAGGGATTGGATACATAGATTTTGTGTTTGACGATGCATTTTGACGAGAATTTTAAATCCAAATCCTTTCTTAAAGTTTCTGATTGTTGATGATGAATGGCCATATGAGAAGTGACAGAAGAATCCTATGATAAATGGCCATATGACACGATGCACGACTTGATGACAAATCATTTCGAAGAAAGGGGAAATGATGTGATCCTGAGAGGCCCGTTAAGTATCAAAACTAACTATGATGATTGTTACATTTGTTTTGATCACATGGTGGTATGATGGAATTATGTTTATGTAAGTTTTAAAGATGATGGAAGATTGAAGTCAAAAATATCGTTTGCGTTAAGCAAAAATCAAGTCGACGATGAAGTTGACAGAATTACGTCGACTTTTTGGCCGAGAGCAAGAAGCCCAAAAAAGCATCGACATACGTATGTCAAGAACTATGTTGGTCGACGCTAAAGCCGACAGCAGAACCCTAAATTCAGAATAACGGGTATTTAACAATTTTTCTTGAAGTTTTACAAGGATTTTTGCATTCAACTTGTCAAATCATATTCCAAGAAGGATTTTTAAGGTGGTGGATGAGAATTGAAATTTTTATTTAAGAGAAATTATATTTTATTATGTTTTCCTTTTGAGACTAGGTTTTGTTTCCTATTTGTATTAGGTTTTGAATTTTCCTTATTAATTTCGACCCTCACACGTTTTTACCCTTACTTTTAGGATACTTTTAATATTAAATAATTGTAATATGAAATTATTTAATTATTTGGTAACTTCTAAGTTTTAGGAAAGTTCTAGTCCAAGGAATCTGAATAAGAGTTGTAATCGGATTTCTTCTTTTTAGTCGACCTAGACCCTTCCTTGGCCTATAAATAGAAGTCTTGGTCGTGGCTTTGAGGTAGACTATAATATGACTTCAATGATAACGAATTTTATCCATGAACTTGTGAGATCTCTCCTTGTTTGTCTTATTCTTGCGAGAATAGGTGCATTGTACTACTTTTCTTAGTTAGAGCTTTGTTTTAGTGTGCCTTTGAACCTATAGGCAGTGGCGGAGCCAGGATTTTAAGTTAGGGGGTGCGAAATAAAATCAAGAGACAAGTGCACTAAAAATTTTAAAAAATACATATATTATTTTTAAAAAATATTGAGAGCCATTTCATTAATATTTAACACATTTTTTCTACTAGAGCTTATAACGTTATGTGGTTTAAATTTATTTATAAGATATGTATTTTTATGAAAAATTTTAGAATAAAATGTTCTAAATTTGATAGCATTTTTATATAAGGGAAAAAACATGATTCTTTCTATTACATCAAAACCACTCCAAGCAAAGAAAAAAAACACAAAACACGTATAATTTTCTGAAATTTCATATCAAGATGTATCATTTTCTATTGTTCACATGGCATAAAAAAGGGACTATTTTTCACATTTTAAAATTAAACTTTTAGCAAATTAAACTTGATCTTGGGCTTATATTTTTGTGCAAATTTGGTCCTTATTTGATCAAATAAATATTGCCACAAAATCTCTTATTAGTAAATGAAAATACATTTCATTCAGAAGAAAGAGTTGAGGAGATTAGTAACGCTTCTCTCTCTAAAATACGCTCCTCTCACTTCTCTCTACTGAAACCCTAACCACAACGGCTCTTTCTTCCCGGCTGCCATGGTTGGCATCTCCTATAGCACGTCCTCTTCATCAACAAGAACCTTTGCAAGTTTGTTCAATAAGCCATACTCATCAATCTTAAAGGAGGCAGCGCCGTCAACAGATCAGTATCCCTTTCCGGATTTCAAAAAAGTCTCCTTCTTCAACAGCTCATCAGAGCTTGAATATGACGATGAGGAATTCGAGGCCTTAATTGCTTCTCACAAGATGACTCTTGTTGGAAAATTTTCGTATGGTCGTCCAAAAATGGAGGAAGTTCGGGATGAATTAAAAAAAAATTGGATTCAAGGGCTCCTATTATCTCGGATTAATGAATCCAAGGCACATATCAATCCGTTTTGAACTCGAAGAAGATTACCAGGATCAAATCACTATGGAACGTAGGTGGTTATCAGATGAGAATTCTAAAGCGGCGACCGAGCTTCAAATTTGAGGAAGATCTGCCTATAGTTCATGTTTGGGTTTCTCTTAATGAATTACCCTTGGAGTGGACTCACCCTACATTGTTATATTCCATAGCCACGACCATTGGTAAGCCTTTACAGGTACACGCTCCCACGCTCAATCTATCACGCCCATCAATCGCTCGTTTTTGCGTCGAGATTGATTTGACAAAAGATCGTCCCAAATCAATCAAAATCGGAAAGCAAAGTAAGAAATTTGAACAACTATTTACTTATCAATATGTCCCTTCATATTGTCCTAAATGTTGCAAAATAGGCCACAAGGATATAGGAATGCTGGAAAGGGAAATCAATTCTTCCGCAGCAAGAGAAAGAAGTTTCAAAAGTGAAGAATGTTCCCAACTAGGCCAATCTTGCTGAATCAGACAAACAACCGCGCTCAGGTTCGAAGAGAATTCAATTTGCCATGCCAAAACCTGTACCAAAGTGGAAGCCAAGGCCGGATTCAGGCAAACCAGAAGATCATACGAAGGCTCAGGCATCTACGCCCGGCTTATCGACTATGGAAAAGCAAAGTACTCCAATTGATATTGATGATTCAATTCAAATTAATGAGAAGGTTCCTGAAAAAATCACACCGTCACCAACTCCGGCGGATAATCCTGCCAAATCTATTTCAGAATCAGACTTGACAATTGTGGCTAATGAAGATGCTAGCCAACTTTGACAGTGCTTACTATATCTCAAATTTCTGATTACGCCCAAAACCAAGTGAAACAGCGCACTGTTTCCACTACTGTTACTAAAACTGATAATGTTATCGATCCTGCTTTATCTAATGCTTCTGATTTTCAAAGTTTGTCTTCTCCAGGCATTAGCAAGCTGCCTCCATCTTTACCAGTTCCTTTGCCAAGAATTGCAATTGTGGATGATTCGCTAATAGGTAGAAGAGGTACTACTATGGATGAGGAAGATGATCTGCGTAGTAGTTGGTCTGATGGCGAAATCAAATTCATGACATGGATGGCTTCAAAATGGTTAAAAAGAAACGGGGTCGCAAATCTAAAGCGGAAAGGAACGATTTGCTCGCAGGATTTGAGCCTCGCAGATCCTCTCGTTTTGAGTAAATTCGTTTTCATTTTTTCCTTAATTTAATTTTAATGATGAATAGTCACATCTTTTGGAATGTTCAGGAAATCAATAATCAGACTTCTCAACGACGTCTGTAAACTCTAATTAGAAGATATAAACTCTCTATTTTAGTCTTATTGGAACCTATGTTGCCTCCTAATAAACTAGACAAAATCAAAATTGAATTAGGTTATTCTAAGGCTTTTACATCTAGTACAAGTAAAATTTGGTGTTTAACTAATGATTTTGATGTCCTGATCGTTAGTGGAACTGAGCAGTCCTTGGATCTTGAAGTTAAACAGGTTTCTGATCATCAAATTTTCTACATGTCGGCCATTTATGCTAAATCCACCCGAATTGGAAGACAGGCTTTATGGACAGATTTGATTAATTTTCATCAGCTGCATTTGGGCAATCCTGGATAGTTGGGGGTGATTTTAATGTGATAAGATCACTCGACAAATACTCAGATCCTCTGTCCAAGATCATAGCCATTGAGGAATTTAATGAAGCCATTGAGGCTTGTGGGTTGCTGGAACTACATACTGCTGGAGATGAGTTTACTTGGGGAGGAACGCGAAGTACGGGTTGGATTAGCAAAAAGCTTGATCGTCTTCTATTCTCACGGGACTGGATTGATCTTTTTCCTGTTGCTTCAGTTGAACATCTCAACTGAATCACGTCAGATCATTTCCCTCTCTTTTTGCAATATACTAAAAGTGATGACTCTCGGCCAGGAAGCTTCAGATGTCAGAAAATGTGGTTCAGGCGACAAGGTTTTCTAAAAGTCGTGGAAGATAATTGGACACTACCGATTGCTCAATCAGGCATGAGATAGGCTTCTCCCTTAAGCTGAGACGATTGAAGAATAAGCTTCAATTATGAAACAAGGAAGTCTTCGGTGATGTATTTGATAATTTAAAGGCTGCTGAATGAGGTTAAAGCCTTTGAAGTTCAATATGATCTAAGCAAATTGAAAGGTCATCGGGTACAACTTAATCTCTCCAAAGCACGCCTCCTTTAAAATTGAAGGAGCATGAAGATTTTTAGAATCAGAAAATGCGGCTAAAATGGTTGAAGGAAGGTGACGCTAACACGAGTTATTTCCATGCTTCCTTAACTGAACGAAAGGCTCATTTAGGCATCCATAAAATTCAATCCGCTGATGGAAATTGGCTAACTACTAGGGCTGCGATTGAGGAACAAGCTGTTACCTTCTTCAAAAATCTTCTTTCAGCTGAAGAGGAAAGTCATAGCATTAATACCTTTTTGCAACAAATTCCTCACCTGCTCGATGAGAATGGTCACAAGGCTTTACTGAAAAAAGTCACTTTGGAAGAAATTAAGACAATTGTTTTCAGCCTTGATCAAGATAATGCTTTTGGCTCTGATGGTTTCAGAGGAATTTTCTACACACAATGTTGGGATATCATCGTGAATGACCTTCTTCATGCGTGTGAAGAATTTCTTCTTGGCATTCCTATCCCTCGCGCTATTGGGAGTACATTGGTAACCTTAATTCCCAAAAAGGCTTCGATTACAACATTCTCTGATGTACGGCCAATCAGTTTACGTAACTTCATAAATAAAGTATTTACGAAGTTGCTAATTGAAAGGTTGAAACCGATTCTCCCTAAGTTAATCTCCAAAGAACAATAAGCTTTTCTAGCGGGATGGGATATCAATGATAACATCTTGCTTGCTCAAGATCTACGCCAATTTTTGGGACACAAAGCAGTTGGCAATAATCTCATTCTCAAAGTTGACATGATGAAGGCTTTCGATAGGGTTTCTTGGGACTTCTAAAAGAACACATACGATTTGGTTTTCTCCCTCAGTTTATATCTTTGATTTTTTCTAATCTTACTGACAGTTAGTTTTCTGTTCTTATTAATAGTTCACCGGTAGGTTTCTTTCAAGCTACTAGAGGCTTAAACAAGGCGATCCATTGTTGTTGTACCTTTTCATACTAATTTTTGAAGCTATGTCTCGCCGGCTTAATTTTCTTATTCAACAAAACAAAATTGAGGGATATGGAACTCCAGCAGGATAAAAAATTATCTCTCATCTTTGTTTTGTAGACGATCTTCTAGTCTTCACTAAAGATTCCAAAGCATCGCTGCAAGCTCTAAATGCTTTCTTCATCGACTACGAAAATGCTTTAGGCCAAAAAATCAATAGACAAGAGCAATTTCTATGTGGATGACTAGTGCCCGCCACAACGACTTTTACTCATTAGACGTATCCTAAGTATGCAACAAGTCTCTATGCCTTTACAATATCTTGGGTGCAAAATCACAAAGGGAAGGAAGCATGTAGATCAGTTTCAACACTTATTTGATGCCCTCGACTCTAAACTCAAGACCTGGAAAAACAAGATGCTGAGTCCGGGTGGGCGCTTGCTTCAAATCAAACATGTTCTGTCAGCTATTCCGATTCATGTGTTTACGGCTATCTCCCCGTCCATCTCAATCCTTAATCAACTTGAAAAACGCTGCCAAAAATTTCTCCAGCAGGGTTCGGATGAAGGAAATAAACATTGGCGATCGTGGGAACGATTAGCATTTCCTGTTGAAGAAAACGACATTGGCTTGTGTAATTCTGTAAACCCTGATTAATAAGTCACTATCACATAAATAAAGGAACAGTGGAGATTGTTCTGTCCAATAATTTTTATTTTTTCAGTTTTTTCACCTTTCAAAGCACCTCTTGGATATTTGCTACAAGGCTTTAGAGTTTCAGTATTTCCTTGAAAAGGAAGTGCATCAAAGAAGGGAAACAAATTTGATTGGACTTATTGAGAAGTTACATCTCCATGCGGTACGAGTAACAAATTTTTCCTTTTCTTTTTCATTTTTTTGGTTTTTATTTTTGTTATCTTTTTGGTAGTACTCTGAATTGGGTTTATAGAGTTCAACTATAATAGTAATTTTTTCGTAAGTAGGTTCTTGATTCGTTAGTAAAACGACACTCTTCCTCCACAGATGAAGTTTTGAGTTTAAATCTATTTTTTTACTTATATATCTTTGTTAGGTTTCACGTAGTATAACACTGACTTCCATTAAGGCTATCACCAAAACTTGTTTAAAGTATGAATTCCACATCGTGTATTTTGATTTTCCCTCTTGATAGACAATCACTCAAGATTTGTTTAGAATATTTTATTTATAGTTTTTCCTTCACGACTATTATATCGATATTTTTAGATAAACTGATTGTTGAAAATTTGATTAAAATTTTAGGGTTTATTCATCAAATGGAATGTAGGGAGACTAAAACTCAAATTAGACTATGAATAATGCATTTAAAGTGAAGTTTTGGATTTTTTTTTTAAAATAAAATTGTTTTAGATTAATTTTACTCATGTTTTTATTACACATTTTTCAGTTCAAATTGAAAGAGTCGTCTAAATTCATTTTGTAGCCAAAAATAGAATAGGAGTTTGATTTCAGATTGTTTTGGAAAAGTGCCAATATATGTTTTCCTTAGACTTATCTCCTTATAGAATTTTATGGCGATGGATGTCGTTGATATGAACTTTGTTTTGGTTTGACACATTGATATAGGAATACACATTATTTTAGTGGCAAATTATCTGGTACACCCGGGGGTACCGTATCCCTCTATGCACGTGTACCTTACACTCTTACAATAGCGTTAGTCCGCTATTATAATTCAGCTTTCTTTTTCTTTTTTTTTTAAACGCGGGGTTATATAAATAACCGAATTCATTCAAATTTGGAAAACTTTGTGATAGAGTATTATTGATGGGCGATGGCCGGCGGTGATCAAGGCATTGAGGCGGCAATGGGAGTCGACGATCGAGGCGTTGAGGTGGACACGGCCGGCAGCGATCAAGTCGTTGAGACGGCGACGGCATTCAGCGATCGAGGAAAGGCTCCGATTCCACCAGAGTGGCGAAACGGTGATTGGATCAACGATATGCTGAGTTCAGATCGAGTGATGAGTTATGTCGTTGATGATTCCGGCTTGATGAATGCGGAATGTAGTGGTAGTAAATCCATCGAACAATCTTAATGTGCCAGCAAATCAACACAAGGTCACAGTTCTGTTGTAGATCAGCTGGAATCAGGTTTGTGTTGGTTTCGGAGTGTACCGTAATCAATCAAGTTTTTTCACAGTTCTGTTTTTGTTAATGTTGTATTAAGTGGATAAGTAGTTATTCTGTGTTGGATATCCAAAATGTTTGTACTGGATATCCAACTTGTTTGTGTTGGATATCCAGCTTATGTGTACTGGTTATCCAACTGATTTACATGCGTATCCAAATTTTATTTGCTGGATATCCAACTGATTTGTACTGGATATCCAACATTTTTCAGTTGTTTATATTGAATTGGTGTTTTTTCACAGTTTGGAGTGTACTGTTTGTGAGAGAATAATCAATCTAGTTTTTTCACAGTTCTGTTTTTGTTAACATTGTATGAAGTGGATAAGCAGTTATGCTGTGTTGGATATCCAACATGTTTGTACTGGATATCCAAGTTATTTGTGCTGGATATCCAGCTTATGTGTACTGGTTATCCAACGGATTTATTTGCGTATCCAAATTTTATTTGCTGGATATCCAACTGATTTGTACTAGATATCCAACATTTTTGAATTTTTTGTTTTTCTGTTTGTCTCATTTTTTGTAAAAGATAACCATATCAATGAGTTGGGGGATGATGTGATGCTGGATGATGCTTTGCGCATGGAAGTTACATCTTCTCTGAAGGGTAGGTTTTCTAACTTGTTTATATGTGTTTAAATTTTTTTTTGATTTGTTTATCCATTGTGTTAATATTGATTATCCGATTGCATGGTAATGGTTATCCAACCATCTCTTTTGTTTTTCTCAGAATGTGGAGAAGATAATAGCGGCAATGAATTGGGAGTTGATAATGTGATGGTGGAGGAGGATGCCTTGCACAAGGAAATTTCATCTGTGACGAAGAATAATGATTTGGCTATTTTTACTTTAGTTGGCAAGACTGCAAGAAGTGAGAAAGAAGCTTATGATTTGTATAATGATCATGCCCGATTGATTGGTTTTAGTGTGAGAGTGGGAAAACAGAAGTTTAGAGGTAAGACTAATAAATTTATGATGAAGAAATTCTGTTGTAACCGCGAAGGATACAAGAGATCCGGTGGAAATGGTGATGTGTGCCATGAGAGGATTAATTTTCAGTGTGGGTGTCCAGCTTATATCCATTTCACTGTTGACAAAGATGGCTTGTGGACCTGTACAAAGTATCTGGTTGATCACAATCATGATCTTGTGCCGAATGAAATGATTGGACTTCTTCGATCTCAACATGAAGTAGATGAAAATGATATGAAGATAATCAGAGACATAACAAGGAGTGGCATCCCTTTGGTTGATGCATATAAGTTTGTGGCAAAATTACACGGGGGAAGTCCGAACATGAAGTATACTTTGAGAGATGCCTACAATTATGAGCGTCCTGGTGTTGGATTTGAAGGTGACGATTGTAATCAGCTCATGAAGATTTTTTGGGACAGGAAGGAAACTGAAGAAGATTTCTTCTTTGATTTTGACTGTGATGAGCATGGTAGGCTGTGTATTTTCTTCTGGAGGGATGACAGAATGCGAAAGGATTATGATTTTTTTGGTGACTTGCTTGTGTTTGATACAACGTATCGAATCAACAGATATGGAATGATCTGTGCTCTGTTTGTGGGTATGGATAATCATAACAAGAATGTCATGTTTGGTTGTGGTTTTGTATTAAACGAGAAAGAACACTCTTTTGATTGGTTGTTCAAGCAGTTTTTGAAATCAATGGGAGATAAGCAGCCACAAACCATAATGACAGATCAAGCACCTTCTATTGCTGCAAATATTCGGACATGTTTTCCAAGTTCTCGGCATCGTCTCTGTGTATGGCACATAGGTGAAAATTCAAGAAAGCGAATTGGTCATTTAAGGAACAAGCCAGATTTTGTTAAGAACTTTAATATTCTGATGAAATACGCGTCAACAGAAATCGAGTTCGAGGTATTATGGAGGAGTCAGTTTGTCAATATTTTTATTATTATTTTGATCATTGCCATGATTAAGAGTGTCTCTTATTTTTTTTGTTGTGTGGGTATGTGCTAGTGGTCATGCATGATCTTCCTGATGATTACTTATAGGTAGGTAAGTTATACAACAATGATGGATAACCAGCAAATAATGTATGGACAAGCAGCCGCATAGAAGCACAACTAAAAAAAGGCATGGATAACTAGTTTACAGATTGTGGATAACCACCTGTTATGGCTGGATAACTCGTTTACAGATTCTGGATAACCAGCAATTATGACTGGATAACTAATTTACATATTCTGGATAACCACCCGTTATGGCTGAATAACTAGGTTACATATTGTGGATAACCAGCAATTATCTCTGGATAACCACCCGTTATGGCTGGATAACTAGTAGAAAGCCTTTGTATAAGCATTAGGAAATTATTGCAGGGGTTTAAAGGGGTTACTGATAGATAGGCAGTTCCATGTTTTGGATAATCTGTAAATGATTACTGGATAACTAGTTTACACATTTTGGATAACCAGCAATTATGGCTGGATAACTAGTTTATACATTCTGGATAACCACCCGTTATGGCTGGATAACTAGTTTACACATCGTGGATAACCAGCAATTATCTCTGGATAAGTAGTTTACACATTCTGGATAACCACCCGTTATGGCTGGATAACTAGTAGAAATCCTTTGTTGGCTGGATAACTATATGGATAATCTAACTATTTTTCTTTTTATGCATGTGTTTTATATTGTTGTGCACAGATTATTGGATGAGTATGATTATCATGATGACAAATGGCTCAATGGTATTTATGATGTGAGGCATATGTGGTGCCCTGCATTTAGCAAAGATGTTTTTTCTGGTGGTACCTTGTCTTCACAGAGGAGCGAGTCAACAAATAATGCAATTTGTCGTAAAATGAAGGCCACATCATCGCTTTGTGATTTCCATGGAATTTTCTCTGATGTTGTACACTGTTGGCGGGTAGCTATGAGGGGTGAAGATCTACGCTATAGCCAGGGAAACATCGATTCATATCTTCTTGGTGACCCTTTCCTGGAGAGCATTCGTAAACAGTTTAAGCATTTCGGGAGGTTCAGCAGTTGCACAAAGATGGGATGTTGTGCAGGCAGGAGCAGTTAGAGGTCTCAAATGATGGCAATATTGTGACGTACAATGTTTGGCGGTTTGGGATAGAGCACTTTAAGCATGTGGTTGTACATGACACTAGGTTATAGAGATTCTCATGCACGTGCAGGTATTAATCTGAGGCGGGCATGCTTTGTTGCCACATTCTTCGAATCTGTCATGTAACCTCTGTTGATGAGTTTCCTAAAGATTATATATGTATGAGATGGACAAAAGGTTATGGTGCCAGGTCAAGCATAGCTAATGAGGGAGATGGAAAAGCTGCTGGGCCATTGCTGTGGAAGACACTAATTATGAGACGATTTTCGGACTTGGTGTATGCAAGTGAATATAACAAAGATGCAAGGAAATGTTGTGACGAGGCGGTTGACAGGCTTAAAGAAGAACTCGGGAGTTTCATTGGTTCAAATAATAATGATGAGTCTGTAGACAATGATGGTGTTATAAAGAATCCGGCTGTAAAGAGGAAGAAGTTTGGTCCCAGGAACGAACGTCCTAAAAGCATTATTGAGAAGGCATGTAACAAAGTCAGAGACAAGAAAACAAATGCAAGAATTGCTGCTAACCAAACAAGAGCTTCAGTTTCATCAGACCTGCATTATCAAAGCATGCCATTTCCTTATCCAAAGGGAGCTGCTCAAGATTTTTCAGGCTCAGGAAGTTTTGCTGCTGTGAATGCTCCCCATCAAAGCATGCCATCTTTGAACATAAATTCTGGTGGATTCTCATTTACTAATCCAAGTGTAGCTGCCCAGGATTTTTTAGGGGCAAGGGCTTCCACTTCTGTGAATGCTTTTGATCAAAGCATGCCATTCATCAACCAAAATTCCGGTGGATTCTCATTTCCAATTCCCAAGGGAGCTGGCCAGGAGTTTTAAGGCGCAAGCACTTCCGCTGCTGTGAATGCTTCTCATCAAAACATGACATTCATGAATCAAAACTTTGGTGGGTTTTCATTTCCTAACCAAAGGGAAGCTGCCAGGGAGGCTGGAGCGCAGCGTTTCTTCAACAAGATGTTTTATTAGTATTTTTACTTGATGTTGGAATGAACAGTATTGATGGTGTAAAGATTTTTATTTAAAAAGTATTATTTATTTTAAATTGCAGTATTATACAACCAGTTTGAACTGGTTATCCATTTTGTTTGTATTGGTTATCCAAGTGGTTATTTTAAATTGGTTATCCGTTGTATTCATGGTGATTATCCAACCAGTTTGAATTGGTTATCCAAGTTGTTTGTACTGGATATCCACCCATTTGGTTTGTATGCCTATCGAACTTGTTTGTACTCGATATCCATTTCGTTTGTACTGGATATCTATTTTGTTTGTATTGGATATCCAACTCATCTATACTGGATATCCGAATCGCCTGTACCAGATATGCAACTTTAAATGCATATAGATATTACAAAAAAGACATGAACACGTTGAACACGCTTTCTTCAAAAATAATATCATTGGATAACCAGCATAGATAATCTGGATAATTAGTACAAAGTCTTGAGATAACCAGTAATAAGTTAACAAGGGAAAGATAATTTTTTTTTAAAAAAGAAAATCCTAAAAGTGTGTTAATGTCTCCCAGAAGTAACATGCTGTAATGATGTAACTGGTTTCTAGATCCGGCGATGTACTTGAGTGTGTGATTTTCCTGGTAGGAAGACTATAAAACAGCAAATGTCGATTATCATATCCCTTGAAAATGAACTGTCCCGCTGGAGATGATTTGTGGCTTAGAAACACTGGATAAAGCCAATCATGACGGAAATCTAATCCGTGTGGAACGTGTGTGTTCACATTTGGGAATTCATGGGTCTCAAACATGCAATCCCATGGGGAAGGATCTAGATCCAATGCCCACATCTGACAGTGATGATTCTGAGTAATGTGGTACTCATCTATTACACACAAAGTCCCTTGGAAGTCCAATAGTTTCACATGGAGATTCATATGAGAAGGATCAGTGGGGTTAAAGAAGATTGGAGATGGAGGGCAGTTTATGGTTTGGAATTGTTGAGTGTGGTAGTCAAACACGACTAGCAACTCTTGAGGTGTTGCTATTTCAGAGGATAGTTTGTCTACACACCGGTACCCGAATCTATTAAACCAGGTTCCATCAGATACAAGGCGAGGACATACATTGCAAAGTGTTTTCCATTTCCCTCTATGAATATTTGAACAACTTTGAAAAGAAAAAATGCAGCCTTGCATGTTTTTTCCATCGGCAATAAGGGCCATGAAAACGTAAGTTTTTGAGGATGATACGTACCCAAATGCTGTTTCACAATTGCTGAGAGGGACATCATATGACCATTCAATTGATGCAAGTTGTGTTGTCTTTGAGTTCAAGAATTTGATTTGAGACGCAGACAGACCAAATCTGTGGTGATAGGCATGATTTAATGGATGCCGTCATCACCCATCGACATCTCTTCTTACAATCGTATGTGGTTGCATGGGTTATCCATTTGCACTTTTATCTTGGTGGCGATTAGTTTGTCTTGCAACAGGTGACCTTCTTGGCCTGTTTGAGTGAAAACAAGGATGTTTTTTTCAGCTGCAGGGTAGCTCATCTCCCGTTTTTTAAGAACAAATTCTTGTCTTTTCGTCATTTGCTCCCAAGCTTTGCTGACATGACAGAACTCACCAATCTTTTCCAATGACAGATTAATGAACATATTATCAAGCATATCGTGATGGATATATTCAGGGTAGTTGTTCTTTTCTTGCTTTTCTTGGCTGGGGGACATTTGTTTGGTTGTGGAATTTGAGGAAATTTTTTCGTTTTTCATTTTTTTTTGGCTGTTGGATGTTTTGGATGCTCAAATCAAGCATTCTGGTGTATGTGCGGATGAGGGAGTTTTATAGAAATGCTCTATGGAGAAATGTCAGGGAGTTATATAGAAATGCTGTATGTGGAGATGAGGTAGTTTATACAGAGGTAGTTTGACAGATTAACTACCCATGCAGTCCTATCTTTTTTCACAAATTAGTGTCTTCTCACTCTCTATTCATTAACCGTCATTGTTATAATCAAGAAACTCATTTAATGACAGTTATGTAACTGATTCTCCTTATTCAATCTATTGCATGTAAAAACATGTGGCTCTGTAACTACCCATTAGATCATGATGGATGTACTCTGCACAAACATCAGCCTTTTTAGTTTTCTTTTTTTATTTTTACTCCCTCAATCTTTTAAATTTTATTTAATTACAAAACATGTGGCTTTTCATATACACAGTAACATGCTCCACACTGTGGATAACCAGTATGGACATAGTGGATAACCAGTGTTCCCACTATGGATAACCAGTTAAACACAGCTGGATAACCAGTGTTGACACTATGGACAAGCATTTTTCATAAAGAATAAAAACAAAGTGAATTTTATATCCATAAAAAGGGAGAGATCAGGTGAATGGTACAAAATAAAAAGAAAACCCTTTTCCTTTCTCTCTATCCCACACACTCAATTATGATTGAATGATATTTTCGGACGGATTCTAAGGGACAATTATGATTGTCTGGCCGCCGTTTGGAAAACGTGTGCACTAATGGGGCAAGTTTGCCAGAATTTGGGCGGGATTCTGAAGCAAGTCGCGTTCCCGGGTCGGGTTCGGCCCGCGAGTTAAGTCAGACGGCCTGCCCCTCATTCATTTTTTGTTCTCCATCATTTGGTAAACTTTTCCTCATTCATTTTTAAATACTGTTTATGAAATTTGCCATGTTCGGCATGGGGGCGGCACAGCCGCGAAAGGCGGCGCAGTCGCAGGCAACGGCGCAGCCGGGTCGTTTAGTTTATCACGGGGGGATTTATACAAGTAATTTGTGTCCTCTCTTAACACAATAACACACTCTCCTTACACACACACACGAAAAAAGGATTACCTTAATTACATTGGCCTGTTCGGCGGGGCGGCGCTGCCGGGGCAGGTTGGTGACCTGCGATTCCGGTAGCCGCGGGAGTCATTTAGTTTATCATGGGGGGCGAAGCTCCCCAATAAATATGCTGTTTGGATAGCCATTTTCTTATGGATATTTTCTTTTGTTATGTCTTTTTGGAAGCCCTCTCTGAATCCTTGTTTTGTTATGTCCACATGGTGGATAGGCATTGGTTATATATGGATAAGTAGTATTGAGGTTTCGGATAACAAGTATAAACTCATGGATAATCAGGTTAAAGACTGTACTTACATTTTTATTTGACTGGATAAGCACTATAACACATTCGGATAATCAGGTGTAACAAGTTGGATAACTAGTACAAAGATCCTGGATAACCATTACAAACGGTTGGATATTGCTGCACATTGGCTGGATAACCAATACAAATGTCCCGGATAATCAATACAGAGCATTGGATAATCAGCAAAGAAATATTGGATAAGCAGGATAACATCATAGGATAAGCAGTTTAATAAAGTAGAAAGACCAAGAAATTGGGACACTCAGTTTTTGTTGTTTGGGAATTTACATAAATATTTGGACAACCAAAATACATTTTCTTGTTATTTTCTTGCGGATATTTTCTTTTGTTTTGTCTTTTTGGATAATCAGGTTAAAGAATGTACTTTCATACTTTTTTGACTGGATAATCACTATAAAATATTCAGATAATCAGGTGTAACAAGTTGGATAACTAGTAGAAAGATCCTGGATAACCATTACAAACGGTTGGGTAATATACTAGGATGGCCAGTAAACAGCTGTTGGATATCAAACACTTTAGGATCAACAGTCAATCAATTATACAAGAGAACATAATGACAGTTCATTTAACCCATCCCTGAATTTTTCTATCATAGTAGTAAGATTTGCTGCTGGTGGGTTGTCGAAGCCCCCAAAATAATTTACCAACTTAAACTGTAGATAGGATAAGTCAGGTCGATCCCACAGGGACGGGTTAAACTTCAAATAACCGAAACACGAAATTGGACAAACAAGAAAGAAAGTTGCAGAGTGTCACTCACTTGCACGAGTGGGTAATGTCACTCAGGCAAGTGACTCTGCAGAACTGAAGACAAAGAAAGACAAATGGAACCTCACTCATGGGAGTGAGAATTCTGACTCAAGGGACTGACTCAACAAACTGGATATTCATTCCCTTTTCCCTATGTAATCAAGTTGTGATATTGCACTCTTTTGGTATGAATTCATGCTCATTCAGGCACTTATATATCTCTAAGTCACTTTCGATTTTTCCTAGAGGTATCTTTATCAACTCAATTAAACTATTTTCCAATGATTAATCAAGTCATAAAGTCATGAAGTTTTCAAGCCTTATATGAATGCTTACGCTAACCAAGTATATTCCTATCTCAATTAGAACCTTGGATTGTTATCTCCAAGTCATAAGTTGAAGCTAAATGATTCTGAACCTTGTTTACCCTTCCGGGATTCACTTAGTTCTGTGCACAATCAATCAAATGGCCAATTTAATCAAGAGGTAGATGAAAGCTTTAACTTCAACACACAAAATCATCCGAATGCATTCACAAACTTAAACTACATAGGTTCCAGATAATGAAATCTAATTAACTACACATAAAAACTATAGAAAATACAAGAAAAGAAGTAAAGCATTGAGAAGAAGCAAATCTGGATGGCTGAGCAACAGGTCACTCGCCTGAGTGACAAAGGTCACTCAGGCGAGTGAGGTCTGTTACTCCTCTTTTTCTGCTACTGGACTTCTTCTTCCTTTGAAGTTTTCTCCCCTCTCTGCTCTCTTCTTCTCTCTCTGTTGTGTTTTGTGTGTTGTATGTCCACTCAGATCTGTGTTCATGCTGGGAATGTAGCTCCCTTTATAGAGCTTTGAAGCCGGTTCTTCTTCCAAGATAGCCTCCCCATGCTTGTGAATTATTTATTCCTCCCAATGCTTTGTGTCTTGAATCCGAGAATTGACTGGTCTCTTGCCCTTCTCCAGCACTGGTATCAGCTGTAACATTGATCATCATGGGCGGTTGGGAGTCTAACCAAGGGGACAAGCATGCCCTTGGATGGGACACACTTATTAACTCCCAATGTGTCTTGTGTCTTGGAGTTGCATTTTGACCAACTCAGCCCTCATTTTAAATTGGAATCAGCAGCCCAATTATTTCTCCATAAGCCCCCATTTTTAGCATTTGTTAACTCCGGTCCTCACCTATTTAGAAACACAAAACTAGCTATGTAAAATGAACAAAATCTAAGAAACACCCCCAATTTCTAACTAATTAAAGAGCAAAATTGCAATGCTTTTATGTTACAATTTAACCGTTATCAACTCCCCCAAACTGGAAGAATTGCTTGTCCTCAAGCAAAACAATCTAACCCCTTAAAAACCACACGTAGAAACAAGAAAACAATAGCTAACCACTGACTCTCCTGAGTGAAAATGTCACTCAGGCAAGTGACACTGCAACAAACACACAAGAACTTCACAGCAACTACCAAACATAACTAGTTCATATGACCATCGGATACAACATCTCAGACGCAAGAAAAACAAGTATATCTTTATCCAAATTCGAATTTCACCTAGTCTTTACGAAATCACCTCCGTGTGTGTGTGAATCATGCCAAGTATGCAAAGTAACAAATTAGTATAAGGTAAATAACAGCTCATGGTGCATATTTAGAGATTTCTTAGTCTTATGACTCATTCTTTCTTACCACAATCATGCTAATGTGCCCAATACAGCCTCAGAGATATACGGACTCTCACAATTCATTTCTTTTCAACTATTCTCCCTCATTTCCTTTTATTTACCTCCGAGTCTTTTGGATTTTTCTATTTATGACTCATGATTCTTTTTCTTTCCAACTTCGGACCCCTCCTACCGAGAGCTTTCGATAGGAGACTTTTCTTTCCAAGCCAAAGGATCACTCATTGTTGCCATTTCACTCTAAGAGATTTAGTATTGATGCTCTACCTTATGCTCCCTCAAGTTCTTTTGAACTTTTTTATTTACTCATTTTTGAGCATTCCGCCTACCAATTCCCAAAGAAGGTATTAGAGAGGGTCATTAAGCTTGCCTTAGTCAACTCTTTAGCATGTAAACAAACCACACTTTGCATTCAAGTGGTAGTAAGAAAAGTCATTTAAACATTTTTAACCAATTTAGAACACCACAGAGCATGCTATAAAACTCAACTTCAATGTAACTAAGCATAAAAGGCATGTGTGCTTAAGTAGTGTAGAGATGATAACCAAGAGTTAGGTAAAATCAAAATTTGAATTAGATATAAGAAATTAAGTACATTGGTCTTCATAGATATCCAACTATCATAGAACTAACATTCACAAAAAATCAAAAAAACAAAAATTATAAACATGCTCCCTACTACTCCCCCAAGCTTATTCAAAGCATTGTCTCCAATGCTGACAAACAGATCACACAAAAACAAAAATAACAACAAAAACAATTCACAGAAACAAAAACAATTCACAACAAAAACTGTGTGGTCACTAGCAGGAGTGATATTCTCATTCCTGTGAGTGAGGTAGAGGACAGATGACTTCCCTGAGTTGGAGCAATTAAATGGATGAGGAGGGCTTCATGATGCACATCATTCAACATATCTGTTTGATTTGTTGCAAGCTCTATGTTGTGTCGAAATATACTCCATACAAGGGATCGCGACATCCTTGTACAACAGCGTGGAATTGCAACATCAGAATACAAAAAAGATTCAACAGCTATAAGAGTTCAGAATTTTTATTTTTTCTGCTGTGTCACTCGTTGGAATGACTTTGGTCACTCGTGGGAGTGACTCTACAGTCCTTCTTTAGCTGCAAATTTAGTTTTCTCAAAGACCAAGGATTAGAATTGAAACACAGACTAAAGATATCAAAAATTAAGCTCATGAAGTTCCTTGGTTCATACAGTTAAGCACAGAGACAATAGAAAACAACAAACCAAAAACACCATAGTTCCATAAATAGATTTTGCTTTTTAACAATAATGCTCAGAAAGAACTAGGTGACTCATATGCAATCGGACATGCTAAATTCCGAAAATTCTCCCTAAACTTGCTAGATATGGCATCAATGCTCATAAAGATATTAGAAGTTTACCCCAGACTAAAGCCTAGCAAGTACACATTAAACACACCAAATTTCAGAATTAACAAGCTACTAAGGGATATGACATACAAAAGATGTCTCAAGAACCCAGAAGAAAGAAAACATGAAGGTAAAACAAAAAATATGGGTGTGTAAAAGAAATAAATTGACTTCAAATATCAAGTAGGTTCAGAGTCACTTTGCAGAGTGACATGAGTCACTTCCCAGAGTGTCTTAGAACTTTCAGCAATAAACACACAAAATTTTAAAGTCAACAGCTTTAGTTTTCCAAAATTCCCATATTTTGTTTTAAAAACAAAATAAACTAACAACAATTATACATGAACAGAGCATACATCAATTCCCCCAAACTTAAAATAAAGCACAAATCCTATGCAGACTAAAAGAAATCAAGAGCAAATCAGTCACAGCAACTCAGTTTGTTGCAGGCACACTCGGGGGAGTGACTAATCTCACTCTCCAGAGTGACTGATATCAGAATCTGCTGCATTTTTGGATTACCAATTGAATTGGGATGGCATTAATACTTCTTCTGCACATGGAAGCACACACATTAAACAAGAAAAAAATTAAAATCACTCAAAAATGAACTAAAAGGAAAAGAACATGGGTTGCCTCCCATGAAGCAAGCAAAATGTTGAAATGCGAGATGCATTCCATAATCAACTCTTGTGACTTCAAGTCACTCAGAATAGCCATCTTGATACCACAAGAATGTGCTATCAATTAGCCTATCATGCCTCCAGGAAGCATACTTTTGAATCATCCAACATAGAGGAAAATCTTTCTTGCTCCACTCTTCCAACATCTCGGGGTCCTTCTTGGTTTGACATTGATCGAAATCAATATACTCTATTTGCACACCCCAAGTGAATTCACCCTTACCTCTGCCCACATGACTCTCATCAAGGGAGATAATTGACTCTTCTTCATTCGTAAACAAAGTTGTATCCTCCGAGTCAATTATCTCTCTTTCTGGAGAAAGAGTCTCATGAAATCTTGAACACGGCTCACCTTCAGCAAATAGTCCCTCTAAACACAACTCCCCATCAAGTGGGTTACTAAAATCTTGTTTCACAACTTTCTGCTTGGCAGAGTTTTTAACGCCACTTGAGGAAGTGTGTTTTGTCACTCCCCTGAGTGGGAATGGCAGAGGTGGAACATAAGGAGGTGGTTTCTTATATGGTGATGGTTGCATCTCCACCTTTGGTTCTTCCTTTACCTCCTTCTCCTCCACTGGTAGGACTAAATTCTGATGAGAAAATTGCTCTTCCTTCCTTTCTGAGATTTCATTCAACTTCTGGAGCCCTTGTTGTATTTGTTCAACTCTTTGCTCCAACTCCTTTAAAGTTTCCTGAAATTTGTCCCACTCTGTTTGTCTCAGCTCCCAGTCAAGCTCACCTTCATAGCACGGGGACATTGGATAATTTACCAACTTAAACTGTAGATAGGATAAGTCAGGTCGATCCCACAGGGACGGTTAAACTTCAAATAACCAGAACACGAAATTGGACAAACAAGAAAGAAAGTTGCAGAGTGTCACTCACTTGCACGAGTGGGTAAAGTCACTCAGGTAAGTGACTCTGCAGAACTGAAGACAAAGAAAGACAAATGGAACCTCACTCACGGGAGTGAGAATTCCGACTCAAGGGACGGACTCTGCAAACTAGATATTCATTCTCTTTTCCCTATGTAATCAAGTTGTAATCTTGCCTTCTTTTGGTATGAATTCATGCTCATTCAGGCACTTATATATCTCTAAGTCACTTCCGATTTTTCCTAGAGGTATCTTTATCAACTCAATTAAACTATTTTCCAATGATTAATCAAGTCATAAAGTCATGAAGTTTTCAAGCCTTATATGAATGCTTATGCTAACCAAGTATATTCCTATCTCAATTAGAAGCTTGGACTGTTACCTCCAAGTCATAAGTTGAAGCTAAATGATTCTGAACCTTGTTTACCCTTCCGGGATTCACTTAGTTCTGTGCACAATCAATCAAATGGCCAATTTAATCAAGAGGTAGATGAAAGCTTTAACTTCAAAACACAAAATCATCCGAATGCATTCACAAACTTAAGCTACATAGGTCCCAGAGAATGAAATCTAATTAACTACACATACAAACTACAGAAAATAGAAGAAAAGAAGGAAAGCATTGAGAAGAAGCAAATCTGGATGGCTGAGCAACAGGTCACTCGCCTGAGTGACAAAAGTCATTCAGGCGAGTGAGGTCTGTTACTCCTCTTTTTCTGCTACTGGACTTCTTCTTCCTTTGGAGTTTTCTCCCCTCTCTGCTCTCTTCTTCTCTCTCTGTTGTGTTTTGCGTGTTGTATGTCCACTCAGATCTGTGTTCATGCTGGGAATGTAGCTCCTTTTCTAGAGCTTTGAAGCCGGTTCTTCTTCCAAGATAGCCTCCCCATGCTTGTGAATTATTTATTCCTCCCAATGCTTTGTGTCTTGAATCCGAGAATTGACTGGTCTCTTGCCCTTCTCCAGCACTGGTATCAGCTGTAACATTGATCATCATGGGCGGTTGGGAGTCTAACCAAGGGGACAAGCATGCCCTTGGATGGGACACACTTATTAACTCCCAATGTGTCTTGTGTCTTGGAGTTGCATTTTGACCAACTCAGCCCTCATTTTAAATTGGAATCAGCAGCCCAATTATTTCTCCATAAGCCCCCATTTTCAGCATTTGTTCACTCTGGTCCTCACCTATTTAGAAACACAAAACTAGCTATGTAAAATGAACGAAATCTAAGAAACACCCCCAATTTCTAACTAATTAAAGAGCAAAATTGCAATGCTTTTATGTAAAAATTTAACCGTTATCAGCTGCTCAAATCAACATGATCTGGAATTTCTTTTTTTTCTTCGTCAGCAGTATTTGTGTAGAATTGGTGCATTGCTTCTAGGATTTTGTCCTTATTTTTGTTGGCTGGGTGCATAAGGATTTTTATCATGTATTTCCACCGGTACTCTTTGATGTTTCCTGTGTTGAAATCCAAAGTAGTACCATCCTCGTACTCACCACCATCATACCGCTCCATGTGGTGCATTGTGTATATTCCATAATCTTCCGCATTCGGTGTTTTGTCCTTATGCGATGGTAGCGTAACATCTGTGAAGGTGTACCGAGCACTGACCAGTTCTATGCGTGGAAACACGCATTCAACATAGCTTTGGAAGAACCGAAACTGTGATGCCATAAAATCCAAGGATCAGCAAAATGCAATGGATAATTCTTAAACTATGACAATCATTTGTATCTTTTTTTCACTCACAAGTAGATCTTTTGTTGCTTGTAGTAGTCCAGATCTTTTGCATGAATGTTGTTGAGGATAAGAACTTTCTTTTCTTCAACCAGCAACACATACAAGAAGTAATGGTCTCGGTAGTGTACTGGGAAATAGATCTGATTTTTCACATTGAAGGGGAAAATCATATGAAAATTTTTTAACAGCCAGTTATAGAAAGAGTGAAGGAGGTGAAAGATGTTGCTTACAGCTTTTGCCGCTATCACGGATGCTACACTGAGGCCTTGTTCTTCTATTTCGTCTTTGTTACTGCCCGGTTGGTAGTATCGACTGATTGTATTCTGCGTTATTGTTTGAGGTGGTTGGAAAATGATACAATGATCAGTACAATGGTTGGAAAATGCAGTAGAAAACAATGATCGGAATCAAGCACATACAAGGTCAACCAAAAGTACCCTAGATGACAAATAAGAAGGAATGGTTAACCAATTCAGATCTTGTGAATAAGTAGTACAGAATAGATGGATAACCAGCAAATGAATCATGGACAAGCCACCACATAGAAGGCTTGGATAACCAGTTCAACTCTGGTGGACAAGGATTAGTAACAAATTGGATAATAAGTGTTAGTGGTCATGCATGATCTTCCTGATGATTACTTATAAGTAGGTAAGCTATAGAACAATGATGGATAACCAGCAAATAATGTATGGACAAGCAGCCGCATAGAAGCATAACTAAAAAAAGGCATGGATAACTAGTTTACACATTGTGGATAACCAGCAATTATGGCCGGATAACTAGTTTACACATTCTGGATAACCACCCATTATGGCTAGATAACTAGTAGAAAGCCTTTGGATAAACAACTTGCAGACATGTGACAAGTATTTTACCAGGGCGGGATAAACAATAAGGGTTTAGTTGACTTACAAATGAGGAAACACCAAAGAATATCCGTCTTGGGGAGTCACTCTTAGCTTCTTCTTTGTTTAGGATGACAGCCCAAGCATCTATGATGATGTTTTCTATCCATGTCCCTTCCCTCATGGAATAGAAAGCTGTCCTGTCTGCCCAAACAATTTTTCCAAATTCAAACAAGAAATTCCTGCATAGAAATAGTAGTCAAATAGACAAATAGTTGGAAAACTGGTAAGTTTTTTATCCCACGGGTAAGGATGGTGACTTTTACCCTGATTTAACTATTTCTTCTTGTCTCTGCAAGAGAGCGAAGTCTATCAACAGGGCTTCTTCTTGGGTCATTTTCTTCTTCTCCTCTGTCCACTGTATGAATTTTTTCTTGTTTTTCTTCTACAGCATGAATGACAACCTGAACCGTTCGGGCAACCGGTGGACTCTTGGTGGATTTCTCCTCTTAGGTTTTTCATTGAGGATCCTAGGACAAAACAAAAGAGAGTTAGTATGTAAATTCGTCTTTCTATTTTGTAGTGAGGAGTCACAGTGGATCAAACTTACTTTTCCACTGTCTTTGTTAACTCTTCATCAAGCTCATCAGCTTTGAGATTGCAGGCGGTGGCGTGGTACACTCATTTTTCTCCAGCATCAGTAGACCACCCGTGGTAGAAGCAATATTCCAATCGGGTGGAATTATGCTTAAAGGGATTGCTTCAACCACCTTTGAGTTCTTCTCAACTTGTTCTGCAGCAGCGGCAATCATCTCTAGTTTTTTGGTATCACTTAATGGTTCTGAAGCTGGTGCACTGGCCCTTCTTATGATTTCATCGATGGAAGGAGTGGGATTCTTTGTTTCGTCGAGTGCAGATGGTACTGGATATTCTTCTGCTTCTATAGTCTCATTGACATCTTTATCCAAATCAAAACTTCCTGTGATATCTTCCTCAGTGTTCTTCTCCTGGGTTGTCTCGTAACTGTCTTCCTGACTGGAGAAGATACCCAGGTTAAAGTGTGGGATAGTTGGGTCTTTGAATACTTTCCTTTTCTTGGTACCAGTGCTTCTCGACCTTTTGGTAAAGGTGGATGTCACACCTGAATCCCGGCCGGTGGAATCTTGATAGGATCTCTTCTTTTCTGTTGTGGAGATATTCGTTCCATGTGCTGCAGTACAAAGTTGGAATGTTGGATAATCAGTACGAACATACATATATATTAGACACATTGGATAACCAGCTCAAATGAAGTGGATAATTAGTTCAAACATGCCGGATAATCGGCAGGAACACAATGGATAACCATTTAAAGGGAAAAAAGGGGTTGGATAAGCAGTACAAATTAGACAGATTGGATAACCAGTTCAAACGAAGTGGATAATCAGTTCAAACAGGCTGGATAATCGGCAGGAACACAATGGATAACCATTTAAAGGGAAAAAGGGGGTTGGATAAGCAGTACAAATTAGTTGGATGACAAGTACAATCACATCAGACAAATATTTGTTTCATTAAAGAAATATTCATTACCTTGTGGTTGAGTTTGTTGTTCATCAACCACCACTTCTTTTGAAGAAGTCACGGATTTCCCCACTAGAAGAGAAGCCTCATCATTTGTCTGGCTCAATTGATCCAGTCCCTGTGCCCCTTGTGGTTGAGTTTGTTGTTCATCAACCACCACTTCTTTTGAAGTAGGCACGGGTTTCCCCATTGGAAGAGAAGCCTCATCATTTGTCTGGCTCAATTGCTCCAGTCCCTGTGCTTTGTCAATTTCAATGTCTTGAAAATTTGTGGGATTAATTGGAGCTTGTACAGTGTTGTCATCAGTTTGTTGGTGTTGTTGTTGTTGTTGTTGTTGGTCAGCTACTTGTCGTTGCAGCTGTTCTATGATTGTTGCAAATATGCTTTCAGCGGGCTTCCATGCCATCTCGCACAATTCACAAATCTGTGCATCCTGGAGGTCTTGCTGGTCTTGCTGCTGCTCTTGTTCCTGTTGCGTTTTACCTAAAGGGCGGAGGCATCTTTCTACTCATCGACACCATTGCATCTGTTAGGATCTTGATTGTTTGCTTTGCTTGTTCATCTGGTTCGATTTTTAACTCCATTTCCTTCTCACGAATGTCTAAAACAGTTTTGCTCATCGTGATAATCAACTGGTAGAATTTTTCATAAAGAGCAGCAAGGTCTTGCAAAAGTGAATGTAGTTAGTGGAATGTGGAGATGCTAGGTTGGATACGTAAGTTTGATCTGAAAAAAAATGGTAGAACACTACATAGACTTGCTGTGTTTTGGGGTTTCCCTGTGTATCCTCCTGTGATTCCGCCTCTGGTTGTTCATCTCGGGATGCTGCTGAGGACGGTTTCTTGAGACGTTCAAGTGTCTGGACATATGTGAAATTGCTTCCCTGAAGTCTTATTCTGTCGTCCAGCATCTTTTGATCCCAAGATTTGATCACAGGGAATGACCTCGGATGTGCTCTCTCATACTCACACCTATCAAGGTAGCACAACTAACAAAAAAAAAAAAGAAAAAAAGTTGGTGTTAATGATAGCAGTACAAGCAAATTGGATAAACATTGCAAGCAATATGGATAACTAGTAAAATTTGTACGGATATGGTAAGTACCAGGAAAAAAGTGATTGGTCCGGTGAATGGTTTCCCATTGTGGTGACTTTTGCATCCTTTCACCAGTGCATCAATCACATATTGACACCAATTGTATTGTGCCACTTCATTGATGTTCACGAGGGACTTCAGGATGTTCATTGTGATCCTGGAAGTGGTGTTTCCATGTAGGAATGTGCTCACAACGAAGATCAGGAAATCTCGTTTGAAGTCATCACCAAAATCTTTTCAACCAGCAATTAATTATGCCGCGGTGGATCTCGTTGGCAGGAATTTATTACTGTATCCCATTCTTTTCTTGAATGCATCCACCATCTCAGCATGGTCCATTATAGCGGGATCATTCTGTTTGAATTCTTCCACTGGTTTGGGTCTACGAGGAAGATCAAGTACAACAACAACATCTTCCTGTTTGATATCCAGTACATTGTTCCCATTCAATGAGACTTGTCTCGCACCAGTCTGGAAATTGTTTGCCAGAAAACTACATAAGGCTGTTGAAATATTCTTGATTTTGAGATCTAGCAAGGCGCCAAATCCCATATCTCTGATAGCCTGCCTTTGTAGTTCGCGATAATCTACCGCATCTGGCTCTTCCTCAAGATCTGTTGGTTTATTGATTTCAGTGATGAGTTGGAAGAGATGGTTTGGTGTCATCCTGCTCTCAAATTTCTTGACAGAATCTTCAGAACTGAATGGTTGTGTATCTTGACCAATCATCACTTTGTTGTTCTCAGGTTTCGTTCTTTTCTTTTTGGGCTTTTTATCATTGTCATCAGCCGAGTCATTGTCATCAGCAACCACAAGTTGCTTTGGATTTCCTGTCGGTGTGCTCTTCTTCCTCTTTGGTTTCCTCCACAAGTTGTGGGGCTTGGACTTTGAACAGGGGCCTGTTCTTCTTGGGTTGATTTTTGATTTTTAAATATGGTCAGTGTTCCTTCAAGGAGCTCCATTATTTTCTCTGGTTCAGGATCCGGTGATATGTCTGGGTTGCAGTTGAGGTCGTGGCTTGCGCTGATCAGCTCGTGCCTATATTTTGTTCTAGCCTCCTTTAGGGCACTGTTGGCATTGGACAATCACTAAGAAGTCAGTGGACAAAATAGCAGGATATGAAAATGAGCAGTAATAAAAAAAGGAGTAACCAGTATGAAATGGGTGGATAACCAGCAAATAATGTATGGACATGTAGCCACATAAAAGAATATCTAAAAAAAATAATGGATAACTAGTTTACTCACTGCGGATAACCAAGATAAAATGGGTGGATAACCAAAAACAAATTTTGGACAAGCACCCCATAGCACACACGCAGGAAAACTTGGATAACCAGTTCAGATATATAGTGGATAACCAGTTCAGTTTGTCTATGCCACATAGAATCAAATGTAAAAAAAGCATGGATAACCAGTTTACAACTTATGGATAACCAGTTTACAACTTGTGGATAACTAGTATGAAATGGGTGGATAACCAGCAAATAATGTATGGACATGTAGCCACATAAAAGCACATCTAAAAAAACAATGGATAACCAGTTTATACCCTGCGGATAACCAGTATAAAATGGATGGATAACCAGAAACAAAGTTTGGACAAGCACGCCTAAACCCTAAACCCTAAACCTTATACCCTAAACCAGTAACAAAAAAACACAAAAACATGGATAACCAGTTCAGTTTGTCTATGCCACATAGAATCGAATGTAAAAAAAGCATGGATAACCAGTTTACAACTTGTGGATAACCAGAATGAAATAGGTGGATAACAAATATGCTATGTGGATAACCAGTATGAAATAGATGGATAACCAGCACTTATGGTATGGACAACCATCACATAGCATACGCAGGAAACCATGGATAACTAGTTCAGATCTAGTGGATACACACAAAATATTGCTGGATAATAAAAAAATAGGATCCTGGAGTAATATACTTACCAGTGAAGCATGTATAGATGAAGGAGAGCTTGAGATGGCCAGACGTAGAGTTTCTCGCCGTCGTCTGTGTGTGTGTGTGTGTTTGTGAAAGAACAAACTGACAAAAGGAAAAAACGCAGGAGAAGATGAAGTTATCAAAATCGTCTTCCAGCGTAGGTTTTCTGTCGATTTTTTGTAATTTTGTGGTGGTGGTCAATTTTGTATTTACCCTAAAATGGAGAGTTTCCATCAACTGTGTGTTTGTGTGTGTTTATGCGTGAGGATGAAATGGATGAAAACAATTTCTGTGTGCATTTAATGTAAAGGTAAAAACAGTTAAACGCGTGGTGCGCGTGTGTTTAGTGGGGGGTGGAGGGGTATACGGTACACCCGGGTGCACTGGATACGGACTCATTTTAATTGAGTTAAAATAGGAAAGATTTGTTTGATAATTTTGTGTGTTTTAGAACCTTTTAGGATTTGTCTTTTCGGTAATTTTCCTTATTATTTGTTTGTTAGGGTTTGGCTATTTAAGGGTCTATAGTGTGATATGTTTGCGGCAGTTTTGATTTGATATTTTATTGAGATTGAAATTACATAGGCCGCTCTGTTTTCTCTTGAATTCCTCTCTTCCGCGGTTTTTGCATCTAGTTTGTACCTGTCTGCGTTACACATTGTTTTATTAATATTTGATTTTCAACTAAATTATTTAATTTTTTTAAATTATGATGTTAATATTATTTTTTCTTCACTATTTTTTTAGATAAGTCTAGCTGCTGGTATCACAAGAAGAAAAGTTAATAGGTTAGTGTTCATTGACGATTCAAATCCATGTTCATGGAATTTATAATTTTCAGCTTTTCTTTTTCATCTTTCGGGCGCATTTAAAAGAAATTAGGGAAAAGTTAAAAAACTGCAATTACCTTCTTTTAAAAGAAATTATTTTTGGTGAATCTTTGGTCGAAGTAAAACGCAGATGGGCAGGCTATTAAGAATGTTTATATAAAGTTTCTAGTGACACCTTGTTGATGCGTAATTTGTTGTCTAAATTAGGGAAAAGTTAAGTTAAATGCTACTGCATAACAACATTTAGTTTTAGACATCATATTGGCATTTCAATATTTAGATTTGGAAATCATTTCCCTACTTGATGTATCATATTTCAGTGTTCTCTAGTTGTGTGTAGTATTTAAATTGACTCACTGAAGGTTTCTTTTTAGTTTTGTGGGGCATCTTTAAGATCTAACTGCCTTTCAAACTGTGATGAAAATTCAGAATTTGAAAGATTACCAGTATACTGATTGAAGGGAAAAGTTGAGTTTATCAATAGAAATGAGAACAACTTCTTCCAAGTTGTCTGCAAAGCGGAGTATTAATAATGAAGATAACGAAGAGGGAAGCTCTAGAAGTCTCAAATCAAAGTGTTCTCATGTGAATTCAATCCAACATGTTCCACAACTTTGTGACCCCGTTGATGGCACAGAGGATAAGCAGAAAAATAATGATGTTCTCAACATCATTCCATTGAAAGTTATATTTCCAGATAACCAGCAATATGATTTTGATAAGTGGAAGAAGAACTCATATGAAGCCATGAAGATGGTAAGAACAAATTATATGATTTGGGGTACTCACTGAAAAAAGTTAACTTGAGGAGTTAATGCATGACATGGATACATTAGTCGAGGGTGATGGAAATGAGAATGATCACAATGATTGTGTGAATATTGATGCGAAGTCAATATATAACCATAATGGGAATTTACTTGGCAATGATGTAGGAGGAAGTGGTCAATGCAAATCATGTCATTTTTGAAGGTTCATGCTAGCATGATCAAGTGGAAACTTCTAAAAGATGGGGGTTTGAGTGGATGAAAGTTCATGATAATGTTGATAGTAACAATGATGATGAAGTTTGTTTCCTATCTCCTCCAAAGTGGAAGATTCTGACTTAGAAGAAAAGTGGAAAAGTAGACGATTTGTCTAAGAGTTATAGTGTAGGGAACATTATTGATGAGAAAATAAGAACGCAAGAAACCAGATTTGACGAATTGAAAATTAATATTAAACCTACATTCACTGTCTGGTTCAACAAACCCTGACACGAACTCAAGTGCTCATTTATGCTAGCACCATCTTTGTACCTCAACCTGGTAATCTGTTTCAGCGCATATTACTTATTGATGCCAGATTTCTTCCAGTACATATTCTGAATTTTCTCCCAAGGTTCATCAGCTTTTGTTTCTCCCAAAAAGTGATGAAACACACTTTGATCAATCTACTGTCGAATATTACCAACAGTTTTCCCTTGCATATCAGCCCACTTTTTATCAGTTATATCACTTGGTCTACCTTCATCCCCTAGAACAGGATCAAACAAATCTTTGCAATACAACAAGTCTTCCATTCTAGGCTTCCACATATGATAATTAGATGAAGTCAATTTAATCATCGTACCAGCACCCGATGACTCTTCTATTTTATTGATGTAACACCTCAACTACCGAACCGTAGCTCTGATGCCACTATTGTCGCGAAAAAGGTATAAACACAACAAACTAGTGGAAACGATTCTCAAGAAAAACTCCTTTCCTACTACCAATAAAATAGGACAACCAACCAAACAAGCAAATAATTCAAGAACTGATAAAGTAAATGTTGGTGGTCATATCTGACCTCCCCGGATCGGCCCAATCGGCCCACCAACTTGGGCTCATCTTACAGACCCAACTCGTCTATTTATTTAATTCTTTTGGGCCCAACCGATCCACAAAAAATTAACACATATCTGTTCACGCTTTTACCCCTCTCGACAAAGGAGTCCACAGGTATTGTCCCATTGGGGACCTATAAATACTCCTTGATTCATTTATTGCAAATTCAATTCTTGACACTCCCGCTTTCTCTCTCTAAGTGTGATAATAAATTACTTCTCTCTAGGACTAACTTGACCTTCGGAGTGCTAACCTCCTTTTTGCAGGTTCCTGTCTAGGTCGGACCGTTGGCTCCGTTTCCGGGATTTACCCTCGACAAGTGGCGCCGTCTGTGGGAAAGGTCCTCTCTTTCCTGGTTGGCCGAGGGCGAATCCAGTTGTGCTACGAGCAATGGTCTCCACCCAGACAAGACCCGATGAAGGGACAAGTCGCAGGCCTGGATTGAGATCGAAAGTTGTAGGAGGAAGTTCCCGTGTATCCGCCCGATCCCAGGATGAACGCGGGGACAAGGAGGACGCCGAAGAAGCCTCCCGTACCAACGACCGCCAGGGTCGCTCCCGGAGGTCTCTCGATCACAGGTGATAATGGCTAAATTGCTACATAAAAGCATCACAATTAACTTTGCATTTAATAAAAAATTGGGGGTGTTTCCTAACATTGGTGCAATTTACTTAACTTGTTTTCATGTTGTTGTTAGGTAAGGGCTGGATTGAATAATTGCTGAAAATTGGAAGCCAAAGGAACAATTTATGGGCTGCTGAGGCAAGGTTGCTGAGCTGGACGAAGAGAAGGCCCTTAGACAAGAAGCATCTTGTCATTTATGACTTTGCCTCCTCCTAGAGACATGCTTGTCCCCCAGCCGCAATCTCAGCCACCACTGCTGATCAATGAGAGCAAAACGGCCACTGCTGGAAGAAGAGAAAAGGAATGGCCAAGTTGGATTGCAGGCTCAAGACATTGGGAGGATTAAACAACTCTAAGCATGGGGAGGCTCTCATGATGAAGACACCGGTTGCAAGGCCCTATAAAAGAGGGAACTGCACTCTCAAATGGGGGATGGATCTCAATCTCTGGTTACCCTTTTCAGT